AGAAATATTTCTGTTTTAGTTGTTGCGCTTCTTCATTAGATGTGATCAGACGTTTAGATGAAGCAATGAAAGCCGAAGTAAGTGTTAACCCTAACACGACCACCTGGGGTCCGTATAGACCCAGCTCAAATCAGGAGCTCTTAATGCATGTTTCGTTCTTTTTACGTGTACATAGAAAAAAGACGAAAACTCCGCAGACTGATGGTACATGGTACTCTTATTCAATGTAATATGAATTGAAAAGCTAAACATTAACTATTGACTTTAAATTTCATCCAACTTAGACTGCTAAAATCTGAGCATTATAGAGTTGATCGCGTGTCAGGGTTAAGTGAAAGTAGAAAGATATATATAAAACAACTGCTACATCTCTTTTATATGACACCGGTCACAGCACTATTCACAAGCAGCCTATTTCTCCTCTATTCATTTTATGAAATTTTCGTGGAGAAAATTTTCATTATTAGACAAATAGACAACGATCAATTACTCACATTATATATAGACGACACATGCAGAACAGAACACTTCTTTTTCTTTTCTCTTTACTGTTGTTGATCAAGACGAAATTTTCGTTATTGAACAGGTAAACGACGGTCAATTACTCACATTGTACATAGACGACATAAACAGAACAGAATTGTTCTTTTTCTGTCTTCTTTACTATTGTTGATCAAGAATAACATCTAGATTGTGTTCTTTCACACAAAAGCCGCTCGAAAAAATTAGAATAAGCTTAAATAACAACTAAAACAGAAATATTTCTAGAGGGGGGGGGGGCGGAGCCCCTCCCCCTAGACGCCCTTGTGGTTACGCCACTATTGGTAGTATCACGCGATAGAAGTGATTGCTCTCTATCTCTTAATGTGTTCTGCCTCTGTAAGGGATACGTGACATCTAGCTACCGCTATACCGCTATAAGACTGTAACAGTATAGTGGTATAGTGGTATTGCGGTATAGCGGTATAAGCATTTTGAATTTGCCGCAAATTCAAATACCTCATGAAGTCACGAGCATACACAGATGACGACAAACAGACACAGAAAAACAAAAATCTTATGTGCACTCTGTGATAATCAATATAAAGGAATCGCTTATTCCTCTTGGTTAGATCAATGTTCTAGCACGTAAAAACAACTAAGCTTTCTGTTTAACACGCCAGAGATATCAGATTTAATCATAAACGAGGTTTTGATTGCCAATTTTAATTCTCATATATAAAATGTCTAAAATCGTGACTTTTCACCCAAGTTACACCTATTTGATGCGTTATGAGACTATTGGTTTGGCATAGAAAGGAGTGTCATTTCCATAAAAGTATGATGGAATCGACAGGACTGCATTATTTCATATTGGTATTTTTCAGGTAAACTTTTAACATCGATTCGTTTTTTTATTCTATGTCCTGCTCTTAATTCATTAGTGTATTGATAGTTCGAGCTAAATGTCAATCATGTGATGGCTTGCCTGAATATGCTCCATGTTCGACGCATTTTGCGTGTGCCTGTTTCCGTATGATTGCTTCTTCTAACTCAAGCATTTGTGTCGACCAATTTCTGCTGTCTTGCTCTGAGCTAGTTCAATGTGAACGTTTAAACAATACTTGTAATGAATTCGAGCATGTGTGTCTTAATCATTCTCGATGTCATGATTATCCTACTTGTTATCCAGTACCGAGTTTCAATGAACAATTCTGTCCGCCAATAAGTAAGAGCAACACAACAGGAGCGACGAGGGTGTGTGGGTGTGAGTCTCCGCTACCCAATCATCCACACCCACACCCTCGATACGTGCGAGTTAAAATTGAATGAAGATATTAGTTTCAAAATTCACATCTCAATATTCAAATACACTACAGAAAACACAAGCGAATGTCGGATTCAGATTAGAGCGAACTTTCGCATTCTCAACCAAACATCCTATTTCTCTACAAATACGAACATTCATCATCTTGATAGTTCACAGCGCAGTTGTAGCTGAGAGGATTTTAGAAGTTGATAACGGATGTTCCATAAAGCTGAGCTTGTCGGGCAGAGAATTCATTTCTCTACGTTTGTTTTTCAGCTAGTTTTTCTTTCATGTCAATGTAAGATTTAAAATTCATCTGGGCGAGCAAAGAAACAAAAAAGAGATGAAATTTTAAAATAGTGGCTCTGGTGAAAGGTCAAATATTCTACAATATTCCAAATAAAGGTATCTAGCTATTGATGCCCTTCTCAGGATTTCAGAATAAATATTTGGGTGAAAAAGGTTTTAAATGGAAAATGTGGAAACACTGAAAAAAACCTTTCCTGGCAAAGTCATGTGATTGTTCTGTATTTATTCGAAGCAGTCTAAGTGCTTCAGCTGCTCAAACTAACATTTACGCCATTTTGTAGCCAACGGCATGAGAATAAATGTTTTACTGCGCCGATGTATGCTGTAGTAGGTGTTGATATTTTAAATCATACACTGATAAAAAAAAACGATCTGAAAGATAAAGGAGATAGTTGGTAGATAAATAGATTTTGTGTCCGACAAACTTAGAATCAGATCTTAAGAGAATGATCAAATCCCCGCAAGGCAGAAAACAAAAATTGACCATTCTTTATAGAGCATCCGTTAGTTAAAAAAATAGAGTTATTACTACAAAATTTAGGACACACTAAATTCTATATCACCTTTTATGTAAAAAATCAGACTAATTCATTATTTTACACAAATGCTCTATAATAATGAATATGAAACAACGCTGTAGGTACAACTACAACTATAACGACGAGTACAACTACAACTACAACGACGAGTACAACTACAACTACGACTACGACTACAACAACTATTCAAGAAGGAAGTAAGCTTTTTAGATCATTATTCTCAACCATCCTCCATTCTTATTTCGAATCGAACACCTGTAGTTATTTTTATGCTATTTCACTATGTGGATATCTAAAGTTTAACTTGATGAACTTAGTTATTTTATATTATGAGTAATTGGACTGCCAGCATAAGAACAACTAAAGATTTTTCAATTTTCATGTATTATTTAACTATTCTCGGGATAATCAAAATTAGCTTTGCTTTATTGGCATGTTCATGTCAATGGGAACTTAACATGATTATGATCTCCATCGATGAGGTCATTTGGTTACTGGCGGTTTTATGAGTCATATAAGTTACAAGCTCACTTCCGTCAAAATTAGAAAAAGGTTTTCGAAATTTTTTAACTCTCTTGTAAGCGAAAATGCAAGGTACTATAAGAAATACCCGATTGATCGCAAAAAATAATCTACCGTTAATGAATTCTATTGCTACTGCATTAATGAAATAGTTGCTGGGATCAGATCAAATATTTACAAATTGAAGGACGATACAACCACAAACTTCCAAATTCATAAGACAAACGACTACAAGATTCTTTAACTAGAAGCTCAAAGGAGGTTTTAGCTTATAGCTGTCTACCAAAGGGGAAAAATGATCCACATGACGTGGCCTCATAATTGAAGACGACTTTTCTCCAGATTCGAAGAGAACTACAATTAAGCATTGTTAAATTGATAAAAACATAAAAATTAAGTTCTTTTGACTTTTGGAAACCTTTTCCTCGTTAGGATTATAGTATTGCAGTCCTATTCAGTAATAGATGAAATCAAATGATATGCGGACAAAAAGATCAACTCCCACACTATTCTTCTGTTCTTCAAATCGAAATCTTTTGTAATTTTGACAAATTTTGAAAGCTTTCTGGTCGAATTTAGTATCTAAATGCTCTCTGACATTCTCTAATTTCCCTCCTACGAAAATATCTCGAAAAATCTTTCTCCTATACCAAATTAGATGATTTCATCAATTAATTTTCATTACGAGTTCGATAAACTTAACAGATCCCCCCCCCGTATTGCTTCTAAGACTGGCTGATAAGATTGTGCATTCATAATGAACGACGACAGTATTTTTTCAAAAAAGATTAGTTTATGTTATTTTGTTCTCGTTTTTTTCTCGTTTCTTAGTTCAACTATTTAGAGATGTACTTGCTTTTATCTCTTCGTCATAAACATGAAGTTCAATATTTCAATATTTTCCACCGCTACTGTCACTTTTAATCGATATTAAACATACTATTTTTGTTGATTAATTGGTCTGATATAGAATATCTAATTTTAAAACGATAGCTATCCATTGATTGTAAATGAGTAAGAGAAATGTTCAGAAACTATATTAAGAGTAAAGAGCACTTCGAGAACATGTTGAATTGGACAAAAATAAAGAAATTGCAAAAAGACAATTATTTATATGCGGTATTACATAATTTGTTTTTGACTGCTAATATCATGATCAATTAAACATTCAACGCAGTCGTCTTCTTTAGCTCAACTATTTTCATCTCAATAGATTTCTTTGTCTAATAGTATATTCAAAATCAGTGACATAATTATGTTGAAACTCGTAAAACTGTTGTAACCTAGATATTTTTCTCGATATAATTAAGGAAAAAAGCTCTCTACTGAGACAACCAATATTCATTGCAAAGAGAATTATCCGTTATCCAATATGTTATAACTATTAACGGAGAAAGTTGTCTTATATTAGTTTCTATATTTGAAGAATTAAATATAATAGTCAGCACATTTTTTTTTATAGATATAAGACAAAATTGATTAATCATGACTTTCATGTCTCTGTAAATGTAAAAAAATTCACATATATGTACTCTTTTTATCAGCACAGCTAAATTTCTGACAAAAAAAAATATGATCATCCATAATTTATATCGAAGTAAATAGTAGTTAAAAACAAAAATTTCATTCTATATAAAAATTTTGAGTTCTTTTAAATATAAATAGCCACCTTCTTTCATGAAATAAAGATCTACTCCCTGCTATTTAAAAACTTGCTTCTTCCAATTAATCAAGTTTTCACAATTTCTGATATTTTTTCTATAGAGACATTAGAACCTTATTTCCGACCCAATATCATCATTTGAATTTGAGAATGAAACTTGAGCAACAACATATTATCTACAAACTGATCTGAATTTAATTAGTTAATCGTATCAATTTTTTCCATTTAAATAGATAGATATGATCAGTCTAGCAATGTAAAATCTAGAATAAATGATTTTGTGAAACATTTTCTCAGTCCCAGGTGAACTAATCCGACATCGGATTCCATCGGATCTCTTAGGATCCAAAATTCCGACAAAAACCCGACGGACAAAATCAATTTTCTTAATCAGGAGTGAATAAGCATCTGATGCCATCAAAATACAAGGGTTGTATACTAGCGTCGGTTTCCGTTGAATTCCGACATAGGTTTTTCTCGGATTCCAGCGGCAGGGATCCGACTGTAAATCCGTTTCCAGGAATCCAACGGAATTTCATCGGTTTTATTAACATTTTAATGATATCGGATAGGATTCCCTCTGNTTATTATTTCAGAAATTCAAGTCTAATTGCAGCTCAGACTTATGATAATCCAGTCACACAATATTAATCCAATAGTCAAAAAGGGTTATGAGTGAAAACATAACTATAAACACATAGTTCGTAAGACCTTTTCATTATACTATAAAAAAAAGTGGCTTTCATTTGCTTTTTGTAAATAATATGTTTTTTCCATATATTCAAATTGTTGTAGTAGTACCTCAATGCCTGTTTGATGAAGACTTGATAGATTCGTAAGATTTTTCTTATAAATATTATTTCCATTCACTTGGCTTATTTCAATTGAGAAATTGTATAAGAAAATATATGAACCCTTACTAATTTTGTCATAAAAAGAATTTGTTTTTGAAAATGAGATTTTCTGATTTGTCTGCGATCGAGGTGATAATTGCACGAAAAATGAATCGCACCTACAATTAATTCACTTATAATCACTGATCAATACAAACTGTTCATATTATACTCATTAAGCTTTTTTTTCTAAATGGAATGCTCTTCATTAAATTCTCTCATAGAATATATTAAAAATGACGATTATTTTTTCGCAACCAAATAATCAGAAAGGAATCGACATCAGTTTTTGAATATTTTCTGTTTATACATACGTATATGGCGCATTCACTTCATACTTATGTAACTATAAAATCATTCGTATAATATATTATAACGATGTAAAAGAAAATTTATTGAGAACATACCAAAAATAAGTTTCTACGTTCTAGCAATAAGTTGTCTACTTAATGAATACAATTAGTATTAATAAACTCGGAATAATGTAAGAAAGAAATATTTTAACATCTTCTTCTTTTTTCGATAAGTGATCGGATAAAAATAATATTACATTAAACCCTGTACAAAACATATAAAGTGTTTCAATCTTAAATAATTTTTCAAATCTTACAAAAATCTTTCTCCTTAAAACTTACCATTGAGAATTCTTTTCAAACTTTCAAATGTTTCCTTCTAAAGAACCTGTTACAGATTCATTCTCATGGTTTCTCTACTTGTTTCTAGAACGACGACTATTAGGAGGAATATTTCTCTAATTTGCGACTTAATAATTCCCTTTAAATTTACATGAATTCCTAAAAAAAGATCTATTGAAGGAATATTGTCCTACACATTCGAAATTACAGGACTGAAATTTCTATTACTTTATTTAGATATTACCCATCGAATTAGCTAGTGGTACTCGCGAGAGTAATCTATTCTTTTCTGGCACTAATTGTTAGTATAAAAATAAATCCCACAACAGAATCATCCTTTTAGATTAAAATAAAAACAAATATTTTCCATGATCTCTAAATTATCTATAAATAATTTATCTCTCTATTCAATGAGGTGAGGATGAGGAAAAGACACAGAGAGACAAAGTGTGGCTGAGAGTAGATATGAGAGTCTTTCCATTCTCTCTCCTATCTCTTTTTCAATGTAAGGAGAGATGAGATATATCCATACAGGTGGAGGTAGACCACGATACTTCTATAGCGATATAAGTGTTTTGAATTCGTCACAAATTCAAATTCTCCATCATATCTTTCGACATGGTAAATCTGATCTGATTCAAGGAGAATCCAGATTTTATAAGAAAACAGAGAAAATAAATAACTGAATTCCATCACCATCTGTCATCAGAATTACAATTCACCCAACAACATCCGACTAATCGATAATGGTCTAGGATATTTACCCATCGAATTAGATAGAAGTACACGCGTGAGAGTAGCTCTTCTTTTCTAGCACTAGGTTTTTCTCTCTTCTAGTTAATATTCCTGTTAATGCCACAGAATAATTTATATAGAATTTAATAAAAGATACTCTAGACCATAGAAGTAAGAAATATGCGATTTTCTAAATAGGAAATGTGCTAATTACTTAGATTTAAGAGAACCAAAAAATAATTCTAATAAAAAAAATAATTTAACGATTGAAAAATATTTTCTTCATGGAAAAGAAGCAAAATCTGATACTCAAGTTAAAAGATAAAAATACTACTCGATAATATATCTGTGCCAAGACGTACGTCGCTCATGAAGGACTAGATTTAATAGATGGTTATAGAAACCGTCGGACGTCCACTTATAAATCATAGAGCCAATAAACATATCACAGTGACGTAATTTAGTTTACATTACTAATAGTATACATCCTTGTGTATATGACATTTAACACATAGTCGCGTACTGAACAGTATGTAATCTTTTCTCTCTCCTCGCTAGTATATAAGCTCACGATATGTTGGGAAAATAGGGCAGTACTATAAGTCAAAGAGTAGTTAAAATTTGAGTTGTTCGAAGAAATAGTTTATTAGAATGTAAATAGTTAGACTTGACTTGTATGAAGAAACATATACACCCTATTATTAGCAACGCAATATTGCTATCTTGTTTTATTGTAAACTCATCATTGAATAAATTATTACAAATTGGTATTGTCCAAAACATTCTTGCTTGTTTTTAAATAATAATAAAAATATTTATTTTACATTTCGATGAGCCCGGCAAATTATTTATGCCAATAAAATTATTAGAAAATATTCAATTTTCATTAGTATTCTTGGTTGTACTACTTACAAGAGTTTCGATTAACTATCTCGATACACCCACACCCTCAAGATATGCTCTTTGCATGTCTTCCTTTTTTTGATCGTTTAAGATGTTCTACTTTCACAAAAGAAAGAAAAGTAAATAAATATAGAGTTCATCACTTGAAACTCCGATTGAATGACTTTTTAATGTCTGCTTGGGTTAACTAGATTTAATTATTTAAGTTTGATTTTCTACAAAAATATCGAATTTAAATACGCTTGAGGGAGAGAACGATATGCTATATGTGTGATTCTTTCTGTAGAATAATCTTCAAATCTAGAAAAAACTTATTCTGAGGAATTTTCAAAAAAAAAGAATGATCTATTCAAAGAATTTTGCTCGATACTTTCGAAATTGTTTCATATACTAGCTATTCGATAGAGAGAGAGAGAGATCTCCTTTTATTCTTACTCTTTCTCTTCTAGTTAACATTCCTGCTAATGCTAAATGGAAACAGAACGGGGTAACTATTGCTGGAGGTAACGGGGATGGGAATACCGTTGATAAACTCAGCAGCCCTTATGGTCTCTTCGTTGATGATGATCAAACAGTGGTTATTGCTGACTACAGGAATCATCGTATCGTCCAATGGAAGAACGGTAATACAACGAATGGACAAGTTGTTGCTGGTGATAAAGTCAAAGGAAGTGGATTGCATCAATTGAATTTTCCAACTGATGTATTAATTGACAACGAGACTGATAGTCTCATTATTTGTGATTATGTGAATCGACGAGTTGTACGATGGTCTCGTCGTAGTGGTACAACAAAAGGTGAAATACTCATCAACAACATCAACTGTTATGGATTATCAATGGATGAACAGAGATATCTCTACGTTTCTGACGACGGAAAACATGAAGTAAGACGATATCAATTGGGGGAGAAGAATGGCACTCTCGTAGTTGGTGGAAATGGACAAGGTGATGGTCTTAATCAACTTAACGAGCCGACATATCTCTTTGTCGATCGACAACAGACTGTCTACGTATCAGACGGGAATAATATTCGTGTAATGAAATGGAATACAGGTGCAAAAGAAGGTATTGTTGTCGCTGGAGGACAAGGCGAAGGGAGTGCTTTGACACATTTGTATCGTCCTCTCGGACTCTTTGTTGATGCGTTGGGTACACTCTATGTAGCAGACCATGGGAATGATCGTGTAATGCGTTGGCCTCAAGGAGACACGAAACAAGGCGCTGTAATCGTGGGTGGAAATGGCTATGGAGCAGAAGCAAATCAGTTCAGCAACCCCTGGGGTTTGTCTTTCGATCGACATGGTAATCTCTATGTCGCCGATACGAATAATAATCGTGTTCAACGATTTTCTATCGAATAAGACTTGTAAATTGTTTTTTCTTTGTTCGTTTCTTTTTCTATACTTTGAAATAAAAGAACAAAAAAAAGAAATTTTCTTTTACTCTTTCGCTTCAAAGAAAAGAAAAAAAACAAAATTATAAGATTACGTCATATGTTTCTTTTCTTCTTCTTTTATTTATTTGTTAAATGAAAAGAAACGAATTGTTTGGAACGAAAATTTGTTTTTTCTTACCTGCTAATAGTTGCTCACGCGACCAAGAACTACCTTGGTGGTGCCATAGAGAGTCCAGGCCCTTCACGTACAGAAATAGATCTAACGTGTATAGAACATACAACGGATAGATCTATATGCGACCTGTACGTGCTATGGGCACCAAGATAGGCTTGGCCAGTTTCACGCCAATGTATGGAAGGCCTCCGTAGGACGTAATAAATATATACCCAGGTCGAACATACACGGTCGTATACGACGGTAAATCGCCGTATTTGGCCGTATTACATGGCTCCGTATTACGATCGTAAATCTCCGTGCCGTATACGGCGAAATACGGCGCTTTACGGTCGTTTTTGATCGTATTTCACCGTATTACGACACGGAGATTTACGATCGTAATACGGAGCCATGTAATACGGCCAAATACGGCGATTTACCGTCGTATACGGCAGAATACGGGCCGTATACGGCCCGTATTTCACCGTATACGGACGTCGTAAAGCTCGTCCTGGGATACAAAAGAATACTTACTTTTTTTTGTGTTACTAAAATAGAAAATAGAAAAAAAATTAAAACTAAAATGAAAATAGAAAAACAATTATTATCATCATATAAAATTAAAATAATAGTAAACAAATTGGGTAAAATCCTGAGACAACGAAAAAACAATTAAAAAACTAAAACTATAATACTTACTTGTGATATTGAACAATGGTAAGTATGAATCCAAGCTAAAATAGTTAAAAAATAAAATATAAATATATTGCGATAATTAGTGGCACTATTCCGCTAGATAACGTCACTAGTCTTGGCTGGACTTGCATATAGTCACGATGAATTACCTGTGCCAGGCATCTGTAGTATTCCAACAATGAAGCCAAAAACTAGCTCACGTATTGTTAATGGTGAAGCTGTTTTTCCGCATGCTCGATCATACTAATTACTATTAATCGGCTATTATGAAAATGGAACAGCAAAATTGTGGTGCTAGTCTCATTACAGCAAAACATGTACTTACAGCAAGTCATTGTGTCGTTGGCAATGATGTACAATATATTCGTATCCATTTTGCACTTCATAATTTTACTTCAAATATTCTGAAACCAGAAAATGGTGTTCCAGCACAAAGATATGTTTCTCACGAGTCTTATAATAGTGGCAGACTGACAAATGATGTAGCCGTCATTCGTTTACAAGTACCTGTAGCAGTTGATAATTCAAAAGGTTGGTCTAGTTTGTCTTATCAATAATGCCTCGCCCAACTTGAAATATGGTGATCCAGTTGTCGGTAAGAATTATTTTCTTTTCTGTATAGATTTTGAAATAAACTGTGAACGTTTTTTTTTACAGCAAGTGGTTGGGGATCAACTGCAGGTGATCGAAATCGACCCAATTCTAGTCGACCAGTTGAACTGCAACAAGTGGCTCTCTAATATGTCGATGCAACATATTCAGATTATAGAAGCTTAACCTACTTGTTCAATTTCATCAAAGAGTCATCGAAAATGTGTGCTTATGGTCAATACAAGGGAGTTTGTAAGTATATATATTTGATAACTGATCGTTTAAACTATGCTTTTTGATATCATAGGCTTCGGTGATAGTGATGGTCCACTTGTACGAGAAAGAAGTCTTCCTGATGGAACAGAATATTTTGAACAAGTGAATATTAGGTCTGGTACACTTGATTGTTCATTCACCAATCCCAAACCGGATATTTACGCCGATATTAAAAATCTTAGTCCATGAATCATTAAACAAGTTAAAGCATTGATTTAAATGTTGAGTATCATGAAAATTTCTTGAAAATAATCCAATTATACTTTGAACTACTTTTTTGAAATAAAACGAAGATGTATTTTCGAAAAGATTTGAAATTTTTCATTAAATATATATTGAAGTATTTGTTTATAAAAAGATGAAAATTCTCGTGTTTAATCATTTAACTATTTGTTTAGAAAAAAACAGAGAATATTTTCTTTCAATTCATAAAACTATTTTAGAATGGATATTTTCGTTTTTTAAAGACTTTCAATCACCTTTTGATGTTACTGCTATTGTATTAGAAAAGATATATAATTTTTTTGCGATAATAACTCGTTGATATTTAAAAGGATGCATAAATCTCAAATTACTTTGTTTTAGCTAAATTCAAAGGATCTTCATATCCTAATTATCAGCTGCTAAGTATGTTTTGTCGATAGTAATAAAATGAATTTATTGTGTTACATATGTTTTACAACAGATACTTTATTAAACATTATTCAATTACTTGATAACAAAGCCGAGAGACGAGATTATAATCCTCTCGTTAGAATGAAAGATCGCTTTGAACAAAACTTTCTCAAGATTTATGAGATGACTATGAATCTGCCTCAACCAATATTTCAATTTAGCCAACTGTTCAGCAGTTTTAACATCGAAATATCTACTTTCACGTGAGACTGTTCTATGACATAGGGTGTCATTTTCTCTGAGAACATATCATATGTATGGATCAAGTTACAAATCATATTACCAAATAGATAAACTTCAAATTTAAGCAACTGATGACTAGCACAAACTCAACCATTTTTTCCTTAAGTGATATATTGAAATTTCAAACCGTTTGCAAATAAGATGTAATGAAAAACTTTTCCAATTTAAATATATTAGTTCGAACATATAAAAACGATTCAAATTGTTAACTTGTTAGTTTTCTATTTAGACCTTTCATGTAGTTCGAATCTTTCCATTGTTCTCACTTTATACGGTACCTTTCAAGATTCTTAGTTGTCGAATATATCCGTTTGAAGATATTAAAATTCTATCAAAAATGTTTAAATAAATTTTAATAAGAATAAACCAGTCGGCAATACATTGTGAGTGTATGGATATTATTAACAATGAGAGTCTTTTGTGTATTTACACTGACAGCTAGTTTTACCGACAGTCTGTGTCTCTTCAAAGCACTTTAAGATCAGCATTTATAAACTGAATAATTGTATCACTCATATTTGCGTTGATCAATAAATTTCGAAATCATAAATCTTCACATTTACGATTTGTCTTATATTTAATGATCTATCTCATGATTTATTAAAGAATAATATTAAAAAAAAGAAAGAAAGACTTCGTTAATCATCACTGTTTTCATTGCGTCGTAATTTTTGATAAATGCTATCAAATTTTTTCATAAATATATCAATATCACTTTCTTCCATGCCAATAGAAGCTGCCACAGTTAAATAAGAACATTGAATATTTGATGAATGCGCACCATAATTCATAAATTCATATGTATCAATAGTTTGTTTCGTTCCTAATTTGATAACTCTTGCACCTGATATTCGTCGTGTAAATAACATAGAACCGAGTTCAGTAACGCGTTCATTTGGTAAATGTTTAAGTGATATAGCAATTGATATTGGACTGAATTGCTTCGATGAAAGTATATATTCATCATTATCTTTTGTCCATTGTATAAGTTTTTCATAAAATAAATTAAATAGATTTTTTCGTTTTTGTACTAAGTCTAATAAACCTTTTTTGCCCATTGATAAAAGTGTAATAAACATATCGGTTGTTGGAGTTATTGAAGCACGACCTGGATAAGCATGTGAAAGCGCATCGAATAATTTCGAATCATATGTAAGAACAATTGAACCACCAACAGGCACAAGAAAATTTTTATCTGTACTTTGAACAATATAGTCAATTCGACCATTGGAACGTTTAGCTTGTTCAATTTCATGAATAATTTTTGTTGATTGTAAACCATATGCATTATTAATTAAATGTGGAATCGAATATTTTTGACATAGATTACTTATCTGTTGAACATTATCAATAGCACGAGGTGCAAAACAACTTGTTGTTGATATAATACAACAAATTTCATGTGGATTAAATTTGTGAATTTGTTTTTCAAATTCATCAACATTGGTTTGAAGATAGTTATTATTTTCTATTTGCTCAATAATAATTGGTTCTAGATTAGCTGTTAAAATTGATTTAAAACAACTTTTCTGATCAATACGTGACCAGAGAACATAACGAGATTGTGGCCGTTGTTTTTTAAATGTTAATAAGCACAATGTCATCGTCATACCTAGAAAAAAAAAGAAACAAACATTTGCATTGATGAGAATATTAACACTCACCAAAATCCTACCCGTTGCCATTGGAATAACAACTGCATGAGTGATTGTTCTTAAGCCAAGAGCATGAATTGCATCAAGTACAAGTTCATTAGTAAGTTTGTTAAGTAACGATGAGCCAGCTGCTTTTGGTTGAATTGCATTGATATCACCGGAACGTCCAATACCATGTGAAAGTAAAGAATGTCGTCGTGCAACAAGCGATGAATAAATACGACCTGACACAAAACAAAAAGAAATAATTTGTTTACAATCAAAACTCGAATTTTTTAACCTTCACGTTCTCCCACGCCAACATTTCCTTCAAAATTATTTGAATCCATTTGTGCCATTTCGTTTATCCATTGTTCAATAACATGTTCTTCTAATGGTTGTTCAGGTAATTTTCTGTGTTCAATAATTTGTCGAATTTGTTGTTCATGTGATCGACGTGCTTGTCGAGCTAAGTCAATATAAGAACGTGGTACAAGACGTTCAGCATATCTTAATGCATCGTCATTCATTTTATGTATCAATATTTTGCGTTCTGAACAGATCTAGAAGAGATAATTACTTCGACTAAAAGTGTACAATATTTAAATCAAGCATTCTTCAACCAAATTTCATTTCATTATGAATGAGTCAAATCAATGCATCACGCGAAACCTTTTTTCGATAGATTCTAGTTTAAATTTTCATGTTCGTTGAACTATTTACATTATCTTTTTTCTCGTCACCATACTATGTGTTTAACTCAAATCTGTATCCAGCATTAACATATCGTAGAGAAATTCTATCGCTAAACGACGGAGAGGAAGACTTCTGAAAAGTTAAACATGAAAGTTGTTAAGAACACTATCTTGCAGATTGTAGATCCTAAACAAAATCAGCGCTCTTTTTTTATTTACTATCACCCTTGCATGAAACTTTATAAGTGTCATTGTTTTCAATTAGTTGTACTTGTCAATATGATCTTCGTAAAAACAAATTTTTAGTCTACTCTTATAACACATCTATGAAATTTTAATAGTACATGCATTCGACAAATAATCTCATTAAATATACGAATTTTTTGCTAGTAGAGGAAGCTCGGCTATTATGCAAACAATCAAATCAAATACAACGATTTCATAATAACACTTGATTACCCATGAAGACCATAATACGACATTCATATGCATGCCACCTTAAATACAACACTCTAACTGTCATATTTAGCCTTCGTTTGATCAGCATTTACATAAAAAAGAAAAATCATCATTTTAATCTAGAACTCATAATATTACTTGATAAAATCATCAAAAAAAGAAGACACCATTTTACTGAAATAATTGTACAAAATTCATATTTACAAATAAAACAAAACAAAATGTCGCATACGCACACATATGTACATAAAAGGCAATGAAAAAAATACTAAAAAGAAAGGATTAATCACGTTTGAGGTTTATAAAATACAAAATTGAAAATGCTATAAATGAGAGAAAAATCCCAGAGGTTATCATCGAAAAAATTTCACAAGCAAATGTTTCATCGAACATATTTTATCCATTAGGAAATTAGATTTCGAATGACAACTATGCTCTTTATTTGTGACTTGACGCCATCTAGGGTCTCGATTAAAGCCGTATTGAAATGGTGAACGTGATCGAGATTTTTTATAGATTTGCCGTTGTTTTTCTTTTTGGCTAACTACTATTCGGTTTTGATCTCGTTGTTTTGCGCGAGATTCAAGCCATGTAGTGTAAGTTAATTGAGCTTTATAAAACGATGAAGAAAGGTTCTCAAAACCACGACGGAATGATGTTCGAATGGTTTTAAACGATGATGAGGCAGCAAAAGCAATTGATTTTTTTTTACTTTTTTCAATATATTCATGACGATGATCAACTATATTCTTAAGTGATGCGCTTAAAGATTTAAAAAAGCCAAATAGATTGACAGAAATATCTGCAGCAATCGAAGCAGTTTCTTCCGATGCAGTTGTAACTGATTTCTTTAATGTTGGTTTTGTACACTGAATGAAAAGAGAACGACATATTAGGTTATAAAACAAGCAGACATATTTTATTCAACTTACATTAGCACCTTGTATACATGTTTTTGTAAATTTTGACTTCTGTTCTTGATTTCTTCCTAAACGATGTTCTAATGATTGGATTTGTTCTTGTAACTGTTCATTCTCTTGAGTTAACTATAAAACCAAATAGAGTGAAGTAAAAAAAAAATGTATATTCATAAATGAAATTATTTTCTCTACTTGATGAATCGTATTTGTTAGATTTTGTTGTGTTATCTTTAGTATTTGTCGAAGCTCTTGTATTTGCAAACTTAAAGTATATTTTTCATGATCATGCCATGCTGACTGTTCATAAATTATATTTTGAAGTTTTTCTTCGAACTATAATAAAATAATTAGATGAATAATATTTTCAATGATTTTACTTGTTTCGTTAATTTCTCTTGAATATTTTCCAAAGGGATATATTTTATGCTATTTAAACGTTGATTTGTTTTAGTAAGTTCATCGACAATTTTAGTTATTGTTGATTGGTCTATTAACAAAGAAAAAAAAACTATTAATCAAAATAAAATAACGTGTAATTCTACCCCATCGCGTAATAAAATGTCCAAGCATAATTGGCAGAGTGAAAAATACAATTATATATATAGATGAAATCGATATGTTATTGTTATGTTGACGCCCTTCGATTCTATTGTGTAATTTATTCTGTTCAGACATTGGAATCGATGAAACTATTTGACACTTAGCTGTTTGTTCAATATTGAAGCATGAGGGACAGCTTTAAGAAAGAATTATAAGTTAAATGTGTTTTTTTTTGTTTTACCATTGAATGTATAATAAAAAAAAAGCAAACCTACCGAATATTACTTGCTGATGAACGTGATCCATCACTCAACGAACTACGATTTTGCAGTGATTCTGTTGTACTAGAAAAATCGAAATAAATTTAATGTTCTATTGTTTCTTTTTTTTTGTTCAAATACTTTGACTTAAATTCAGAATTGAATACATGATTTTTGTTCATTTCTTGAGATTTATTAATGTTGTTTTTAAATTTTGAATTATCATTATCATGTAAAATATTTGCTTGAGATGATCGAATTTGTTTTTTTTCGTCTGCTGATAAGCGACTATTAATGTTCACAGGCTGTGTGTTATTATCATTATGACACAACAATAATGAATGTTCATTATTTGTTGTTTCCAATAAATCCATTTCTTCTTCTAGATCATGATAATTATTTAAATTGTACATATATGAGAATGGATTATCATTTCGTATTATTATGTCGGTCTTTTGTGTATGCTCAAGTCTAAACATAAGAAATTGACTCTTTTTGCTATTTCGTCAATCGAAGATTTAATCTTTTAGTGAAATGAAACTGCTCGTGATTGAAAAGGATAGTTAAGGAACATTTCATTTAATACAAGCTAGACAGTCTTCATGACTGAATAGTTACGTTATTCGAAATGTATCAACAAAGTAATGCTTTCAAACCTCAATAACATTAGTCATAGAATAGCTATGCGGTTTACATGTGACGTTATACAACTGCTCTCATGTTTATTTGGTATAGATGAGAAGATTATGCAACTGAGCATAAGAACAGTTTTCTGTACAGAGTTACAGCTAGTTATAGTTATAGAAAAGGTACTAATCTAGTGAATCTGTCTGTCATCAGGAAAAAAACTCTATTACAAGAAACTTTGGAGTATTATTGTTCAAACTGAAAGAAGAATATCGCAATTAGTGTGCTAAATTGGCAGACATGTGCAATATTGACTGCGCTATGATGAACAGGCGTGCACAGCAGATTAATTTGATTTTCACTTAAACCAAAAAGCTTTGTATTTATAATGTCTTTAAGTATGAATATCTGAAGAAATGAAAATACTATCGATCATCCTCTTACAACTGTAGACTTTTTAATCAGCTTTAATTTTAATTCTTCTTGATAACTTTCAATAGTCCTTGGCCAGTACGTGTTACTTACTCAGTTGAAGAAATCGAAGATAATGAAACACTTGGATCTAATTTCGATGAACTACTACTTCGACTGCTATAACTTGATAGCGATGATGAACTGGACTGTTCACTATCAACAATATTCACAGTCTTGTGAAGAATCTTTTAAAATATATATGAAGGATATTTTTTTTTATAAACACAATAAATAGCCTACTGAATTCTTTGGTGATGTTTCATGTAGATAAGTCCAATCTTCATCTTCATTTGAAGCATACATTTTCAAACTCTACAATAAAATGCCTCGATTTAGGGAAAAAGACGCAGCACCTTAATCCTCATACAATATTAACATTTTAAAAACGTCAAATAAATGTTGCACAATCACATTCTTTTTTTTCTTCTCTTCTCTCGCATATATTTAATACTCAGCCGTTCCATGTAATATACAATGGATTTTTAATTTACAGGAGAGGAAGCAATGTCAACGGCGATTGGATATTTTCAATTCTTTGTCATTTCCTAACTTTTTCATAGTAAAAACGAAACAGATTTAAATTGTAACTATCCCATATGATGTCAAGTCCATTTACTTGGCTTTTAGGAATCGGACGTTCACCAGCACCATCCAATGTAGCTAATAATACAACATATCAAACACCATTAAATCAAACTACAGTTACAAATTCATCACAAACTCCTACTTTATCAGCAACACCAACAGCAAACAATTTTTCACTACATCGAAATTTAACTCAGCTTGTCGATGAAGGACAACGTTCATCATTAAAAACTAAACGTGAATTAATAACTAGTGTTGATCAATTAAGTACATTAGCCTTTTTAAATTCTTCAACTGGTATCAATGTACAACGTATACAAGATCAGTTTGAACAAATTGATAAAACATTACAAACAACAGCAGTAGTTAAACCTAGAGATTTCAAAGACGATACGATCGAACAACATATCGATGGAAAATTGCAGAATAATCTTAATGATTATCTTAAACATGAACGAGAAAAAACACTTCTATCAATGTTAAGAATGATTGAAGATAAAGTAAATATGAAAAAAAAAGGATTTTTTTAAATATTTTACTCTTTAGACATACGATGAAATCACTCGTCATAGTAATTATGTATTAGATAGTAATTGGCAAAAACAACGACAAAAAATTCTATCAACTGTATCAAAACATGATCAAACTTATCTCGACGAAGCAAACGCAATGCAGGTAAGAATTTAACAAATCAAATCCTTTTAGCTTTCACATGTATGCTATTGATTAGATTAAACGTTTTGAAACACCCAGAACATTATCAAGAGGTTTATCCAATATTGAAGCTGCGTATGCAAAAGTGGTAAGTTAAAATATCAGATTTTAATTGGAGGAAAAAAATGATTACCAAAATAGATAAGTGTGAACAACGCAGTGTCAGAGACATTCACTAATCAAACTTTACTCATACAAATAGTAGTGTTCAGATACCCAGAAAAGAAATCGAAATATAGTTTTTCACTTTAAAATACTGCTGAACAACGTCTACAGACTTTTCACAGTAAGAACCCTACACAATGAAACAATTATAAGTAATTCTCGTAACAAATTTATTGAGACAAAATATTTCAGGCCCATTGTTGATCGAATTTCAGTCGACAAGTTGTTTTATATACATAGATCGTCTCTGTATGAAAATGAATGTTTCCATCAAGAAAAAAAATATTCATTCACTTAAGATAGATTTCGAGAAATTATAGGAGAATATAGACCGACATTAGTTATGCATCAATATTTTCAAAAACTTCTTTTCGCAGTAGTTATGTAGTTTGGTTTTATTTTATGGATGTTTTATTATTTAACGATATTAACTATCTGATAATTACCCAGTTATTTCAGTATTTACACAAGAATTCAGTAATATTATAGAAAATTCCAAGTTGACTCACCTTTCATATTGTTATAAGAATTGGATATGAATACTTTATGAAATTCTGAAAGTTTGCAAATCTAACTATTTTATTGTATCGAAAATCTCCAGTAATACTTTGCATGGCTACCCGAAAGACTTCTAAGAACTAATCTCTTTTCAGACTTACTCTCATGCACACTTATGACATTAGTGAACGAAAAATCGATCGATACTAAAATGGTTATTTCAAGCTGAACAATGCCACCTACATTGAAAATGAATTTTCTTTCGTTTTTATTTATAATCTACCAGTAATGATTTGCACAGTACACGTATATCTAGCTCATCTACTTTTAATTTAAAAAAAATGAATGTGATGACATGAATTATTCTCATTGTCTTAGTGCATCCTTAGTAAAAGAACTTTGTTACTTACTCTCTAATTTTTAATTACATCACACTTTTCATTCTATGAAAACACTAACTGTTCGTAAAATTATTCAACCTTAGCTCAGTCCACAAATAAGAAGATCGCAAGAACTAGTGATTGAGATCGCCTGTATGAGTATTAACTCATTCGTTATAAACTATACTAAAAAAATAAGTGATCGTGCATTTCTATTTCCATGCTGACTCCTAGAGCTATTAATTCAAATAACCGATCAAGATAAAAGATTCCACTGGATCTATGTTTTAGACACATTTTGCCACCTCCATCCTTTTCTATCGTCTGCGTAAGCGTTTCTAGTATTCATTCATTGCAGATAGAAAGCATGCCATTGATCGCACGAGCTGTTAGATAAATTTATTGTTCAGGACGATTTTTCCTCTAGAATTTGATATTTTTCTCATCAATTTTTATTATTTCTCTAAGAGACTAGTATTTTTGGTGCAAAAAATTCATCCTAGCTCTCTTGATCTTTAAGTCACTGATTCAATATTTTCCTTCGTCTCAATCATTTTTGTTACCGACTAGATAATTTTATTGATTCTCATTGCAACATAATTTCAATCTAGATTGCACTTTATAATGTTGGCAAAATTCCACGTCAAAATCTAATCGATGAATTTACAATTGTTGTTGAATCGTCTAATCAGCCACAGGTAAACTTCAAAAGATATATATACATATGTATATATATATATCGATAGAAATATCTATTTTAGGCAGCTGTTGACTTATGGACTACTGTTCGTTGTATGAGTCAACTTCCATCGGACTATTTAATTAATCGAACATCATTGCCATCTCAACAAGCTATTGTATTATCTGCTCGAAATTATTTAGAATATTCGTATGTTCAGTTTTGTTGTTTTGATATTTTATTTAAATGACTGTTTATTCTCGTAGATTTCGTATTCAGTTATCAAAACTTTTTATCAATCTTGTGCCAGATGAAGATATTCATAAGCCAGGTGCAATATATAAATTAATTATACGTTATATTCGACAAAAACATCCAAATATTGTTCATATTATTGATGACGTAGGCTTATCATCATATGCTTAATATTTTAAATATTTCTTTTTTAATAGGATGGCAATATTGATGATTTACCTATTTGGTCAATTCTTTTCTATTGTTTACGTGCAGGTGATTTACAATCAGCGTTAAATGCTGCCAAGCGATGCCAGTAAGTGAAGTGTAATTATAGAATCTAAATAGACTTCTTTTTTTTTCATTTGTTTTCAAGTTTAACAAGTGTAGTTGAATGGTTAAATAATTATCTAAAAAATAATAATCAATCTATCGATCCGACAATACGTTTGAAAATTCAAGATGTCTACGATCGAGAGCATTTGACAAATCCATTTAAAAGGTAAAATTTTATTTCAGTTTTAGAATTGCATACACTGGTCGTATTTGTTCGCGATCCTTTTATGAAATGAGATGCAAAATATCAAAACAACAGAAAACTAGATTAATCGCGACTACTAGGCAAGACAGTTAACCGCATTGAAATGAAAAACAAAATTTAGTTTCGTACATATCTGATTGTAAGATTTATTCGTTCCTAGTGAGAGAACTTTTCAGTATAGGTCGTAGTGTAACGAAATAGGTGTCGGATGTAAGATTGATTAAAATTATTTTTACAATATCGCGCTGTTGATTTAGAAGAATAATTAAACTATAAAAAGCAAGAAAATTGATCATGAGTGTCAGTATAGAGATTATTGTACACTTTGATTGGCCTTAGATTTAAGTAGAAAAATATTGAGCTGTAGTATGTTCCTTAACAGACTTGATTTTTTGAGTGCTATACTTAAAGAAAACTTTTGTTTCCTACAATACAAATACCAATAGTGATTTTATATGTTTCATCTATACATGAAAATATTTAAAACTCGATTTCAATCAATATATAATATATTCTCTTTTACATTTTAGTATAGTATTATCCATACTTTCTGCATATGATGTGAATAATATGCATGAATTAATAATCAGTTCCATTGATGATCTTCTATGGCTTCGATTATCTCAAATTGTACTTCCAAATCAAGATTTAATGACACTCAATAAATTACAAAAACTTGTATACAATGAAGGAAGTAAGAATAAATTAGTATTTTGAAAATTGTTTATTAAGAAATTTTTCAAATAGATGAGAATCGAAGTTCATTTAATGAGAAACCAGTTCAATATGCTATGTGTTTATTATTAACTGGCCAATTTGAAACCGCTATTGATTTATTAAATCAAATAGAACAATTTCGTTGTCATGCTGTTCATATAGGAATATATTTACACGAATGTCGATTACTTTCTACAGCTTCGAAATCAGATAGTCCTATGCGTAAGTTTTGTATTCAATAGAAGAAAAAAAACAATTTATTTTATTATCTTTGCTTTTCCCTCCATCATATAGTAACAGCAACATTAATAACTGTAGATCCATTAAAATCAATCAATTATCAACGTTTATTAACAAATTACACAGAAAAGTGTCGTTATGATAGTGAATTATGGCAAATAGTTAATTATTTTTATTTACTTAAACAAATACGACAAAAAGACGGGGAAAATTGTTTTATTGAATCATTGGCAGTTTTATTAGTTAAATTGAATGAAAACGATACTGACAATTTACTTGAAAGATTATTTGGTACTAATAGACAAGGAGCTTTTACTGAAGTAAATTGACTGTTTATTTGAAATATCTTAAAAAGAAAAATGTTCTTTTACTTTAGGCTCGTATCCTCGACCATCTTGATATTGATACGAATGTTGTTACAGCTAATGTTGGACTTTATCTTGAAAAACATGGCCATTTAGAACTAGCAGCTGTGCTTTACGATCGTGCTAAGGTAAATTTTAAAATGATGATTAGGAAATAGATATTCTATTTGAGTTTCCTTCTTTTTTTTTGGCATGATGGATATTCACGGATATCTATGAAAAACGAATACTCGCTACTTTTCCTGTAACATATAGATAATCATATACTAATAAATATCATTGAAATTTACAATAGAAATTGAAATTTGTGATACCACTTGTTCCTATTATCTATTATTTCTACTGATTTATTTAAGATAATACCTTTGGATCTCGAATATTACCGCAGCATTGCTTTCAAAATCTATCTGAGTACAATTCTCGTTAGAAAAATATAGTTTTTAATATCTAAAGAACTGGCTCCATGTTTTTTATGGAAAGATCTCATCATAGTACTTTTCATGTGTTTCTAGAAACCTAAATAAAAAATGCTACTCCTACAATGGTTTAACTAATAGAATTACTTTTAATTGGAATTGATGTTCGATTGAAATAAAAATCAATTCAATTTTATGTTCTCTATCGATTAGAAATGCTTTCTTATTCGAAATAGTTATAATACCTTTACAAAGCATTTAAGAACGCAGTTTAGCCAAATGAGAAGATCGGAAGTAGTCGATTTAGTTGTACATCGTTAGTAAAACGAATGTAGTTCAAAGCAAAATATCATATTTCATTGATTTTTCTTTAGAAACTACGTCAAGCTTGTTCAATATACAATCGTCTTTTATCAGAGACTATTCGTACATTAATATCTTCAAATACACTCGGTGCACAAAATATTTTAACAGGTGCACGTTCATTTGCTTCTCGTCTTGCATCAACACAAAACGATTGTGATCGTTTGGCAAATACTTTATTTACTCTGCTTGATATTTATATCTACATAGAATTTTTTAAATCTCAACAATTTGAACGTGCATATGAAATTATACAAAAACTATCATTATTACCATTTGCGCATACACAAATTGATCAATGTCTTGAATTAATTAATTATTATTCATCAGAAATCATGGATTGTTATCCTGACATAATACTTATGACGTTGACATTGATGGCAATATTAGCAAGTGTAGAATATAAATCAGCATTAAATCTATCAAATCAACATTTATCACTTGCTGCAACGAGTTCATTTGATCAACGATCATCAAATATACTTAGTACAAATAAACAAGGTCTATTAGATGAATTAAAACGACAAGCTGATGTTCTTTTTCGTTATATTGGTTTATTGCCAATAAAACTTCATAATCATGTACATGTACAACTCATGGAATGTTTCAGTCGAATTAAAAATGCTTGTTAAAAAAAATAAAAATAAAAACTTTTTTGTTGTTAGATAAAAAGAACTTAAGATACACATTTTTTTTAGATTAAAAAACAAATAATCTATTATAGTATATTTTGGAAATTCTACCAAGGATTCACAAATATTTATAGTGAATATTATATCCGTTTTATCTACAATGATGCATAATTTAGATTACTAAAGTATAGACAATAATAATCGTACTTTGTCAATTCATTAACTTGGCATGATTTTATTTTGATTTTAAAAAGAGTAAAACATTTTGTTTTTGTTTTTCAATTTCAGATGATTCAAGATGAGACTTTTTCGATGCCTAATAGGCGTACAACTACTCTTGACAATGCTGAACGTGTACATAGTGAACTTTTAAGTCAAGCAACATCTAGACAAACTTACGAACATCAACAAGCCAGCACAAGTGCAAATATTCCCACACGTCGAGAAAGTATGTATTTACATTTTTCGAATAGGAAATTTACTGAATTTATTCTTATTTAGCTGAAACAGTCAGATTAGAAGACCAACCACTCGCCGAAGATCAACAAGCACTTCTTGCAGAATTTGAACGACGTCGAAGAGTAAGAAAAGAAAAATCAATATCTATAGAAAAAAAATAGAATTTTGATTCTTTGTTTAGGCTCGACAAATTCATGTTTCAACTGACGATGTTGAAGTAAAAGCAAATCTACGTCAATTAGGAGAACCGATTTGTAAGAAATAATATCACAATTTTGCATAAGTCGTATCTTTGAATGTTTCTTTTTTCTTTCTTTCTTTCTTTAGGCTTATTTGGTGAAGGTCCAGCGGAACGACGTGAACGTCTTCGTAATTTAATATCACGTTTGTCCGATGATGAGATCGCACAAAAATTACGGAAAAAAGAAGAACATGAGAAGAGAAGCGAAGATAAAAAAGAAGTACGGAAAAATTAATAATAATTTTTTTATTCTTATTATTTATTTCATTTGTTGTCTAAAGGAAGTTACTTGGTACCATGAAGGTCCCGAAGAATTACAAATAGCACGATATTGGATTGCTCAATATTCTCTACCGAGGTAAGATAGACGAAATTTTAATTTTAAGAATAGGAGAAGTAACATAAAAATTGATTATGAACAGTTCTTTTTTATTAATATCTTTGATCTATTATTTTGTTTAGAGCAAAAGAACGAATTCAAAAACTAAAAGAATATGTTGCCGTACCTGAAGTATATCGAACAGCTAAGATTCAAGATTTATATCGTCGCTTACGTGTAAGTATTATAGCTTTTTTATTTTAATTTGTATCGTTAGTGAGTTGTTTTTAGGCTACATCATTGCATTGCAGTCAAGTCGGAGATGCTCGTCCTTTATCCTATTGTGAATTTAGTCCAAATGATCAAATGGTTGCTGTTTCATCTTGGTATGAAGAATTTATGATCAATATATATATATATATTTATGCATAAGTTACTCTAGTCTGAAATAGAAGATCGCTCTACTCTATTTATACGATGCTTAGTCTTAAACTAAAATCTACAAATCATTTACAGTTAAATATCATATGTAACCAGAAGAATAATTTCGAAGATCGATTATTAGAGAAAAACTTCTGAAATAGTAAACGAGGCAATGATTAGAATCCCTAATAAAATGTGAAAAGTGAATTTAAGAATAATCTTTTAAATACTTCGGATACGATTAGTCACTGCCAGTTTGTCTTCGATCTTCTCTTGAAAGCTTATTTGAATCATCAAGAATATACGGTATGTCAAAAGTTTTAGTAGGAAATGTACTCGATGAAGAATTTCATTCACTATTCAACGTAAATACTTAATATTTGAGTAACAATAATACATTGGTTTTATACTTTACGACACTATTGGTTTTCTTTTTAGTCTTTTTTTCATTGTTGACTTGAAATACCTTATTCTAGGAGTGGTTTATGTAAAATTTGGACAGTACCAGATTGTAAACATGTTCGAACATTGCGTGGCCATACAATAAACGCTTGTTGTGTTAGTTGGCATCCGCAGGCAACCTTAACACAAGATCCCAGTGTGATTAATTTAGCATCTAGTGCATTTGATGGAAGTGTTAAATTATGGAATCTTGAAAGTGACGAACCTATTACTGAAATAGAAGGTAATTGAAAATTTATTGAAAATATATACCAACTAAAACCTACTTTCGCTTAGGTCATGAACCATTTCGCGTATCCAAAGTAAAATTTCATCCATCGGGAAGATTTTTGGCAACTGCTTGGTAAAAATTTGCGTATTTAATTGAATAATCATCTTTCTATTTATTTGTTCATTTAGCTATGACCATTCGTGGCGTTTATGGGATCTGGACACTCAAGAAGAAATTTTACATCAAGAAGGTCATTCAAAAGCTGTTCATGATGTAGCATTTCAATGTGATGGCAGTTTAGCAGCTACAGCGTATGTAGACAATATAATTAAAATATTGAATTTAATATGCCGAATTTCTCTAGTGGAATGGATGCATATGGTCGCGTATGGGATTTGCGAACTGGTCGTTGTATTATGTTTTTAGAAGGTCATCTTAAACCAATAATATCAATTGATTTTTCACCGAATGGGTTTGTCGAATAGAATTTCTTATTCATGTTTGTGAGCCTCTTCTTTTTGTTCTAATTAGGTATCATATTGCGACAGGTTCCGAAGATAATCTATGCAAGATTTGGGATTTACGTCAGATAAAAAATGCTTACAGTATCGCAGCTCATCAAAGTTTAGTTTCAACGGTGAAATTTCAACGTATGTTTTAAAATTAAAAAAAACAATAATCTTTCTGAAAAATGAATTAAATTTCTTTTGATAGGTACTGAAGGACATTATTTAGTCACTGTTTCTTATGATAATACAATTAAATTATGGATGCATCCAGTATGGTCAGCACTTTATTCTTCGACGGGACATGAACAAAAAATCATGTCAGCCGATTTATCTCTGGATGGACGATGGATTGCCACTGTTTCTTATGATCGAACATTAAAAATTTGGTCACCTGAGCAAATCAATTAATCTTTTTCTTTTGTTTTCTTTTTTGTTCTTGTTGTTTTTCTTGTCTGTATTAAATGATTATTAAAAAGAAACAAGCATACGATGGAGAACTGAAACAATTCATTATTCATTAAAAATAAATGAACCACATAAGTATGTATTCTGATGAATGAAATGACTTTTTCAGATAAAATAATGTCTAGTCAATTTGCTAATTTACAAGATTATATTGCTAGTTTACCGGCTAATGTGATACAGAATATTTATGGACATCCGGCTAGTTGCTTAGCTATATTTCGGTTTGTATTATGAAATATTTGAGTTTGCTCTACTCTGATACATTTGTAATAATCTTAGTGATTTACCAGTACTTGCGAGAACCATTATCATGAGATTTATTTGTTTACCTAATTCAGAAACAACTGGACAACCGCAACCCATCAGTCAAGGCGTTGTCTCGTCATGGATTAATCCATCGCATCAAAAGTAAATTAAATCTTAGAAGATTTATTTTTACATTTTAAATACTACGTTTTCAATAGTACCTATCAAGTAATCAGTCGAATGCTTGTTAAATTAAGTATATGGAATGAAATTGGTACAGATTGGCAGTTGGATGCTACATTTAGAAATAATTTAACTGGTGCTATTTTTGGCGGGTAAGTTATATGTAGCGATTGGCGAATAAATTTATTAGTAAAGCCCCATTGAGATCTGTTGTGTAGAAACTTCCATCGGTCTTTTTAGAGTTATTTCAATAATACAAAATAAGTTCAGTGAAATATCTTTCGAAGACTATAATTGTTTTTCGAGATGATTCAAATGGGAAAAGTTTTTATTAAGTTTTGTTGTTAGTTGTTTGCGATGACTCTTTCTGGTATTCGATGTTTTCTCACTCGAAGATTAGTTGTAAGTACTCTAACGATTCATTTCACTGTTTCAATAAATATCGATTGCATCAACAACAGGGTTGAACACTACAAAATATTCCGATAATATCATGAGCATTGATATCAATTATTTCCGAAAGTAAAGTGATACTTTTTCGAGGCTTTTTTATGATGATTCTGACACGTTAATACACCTATTCACCATCATGATATTTCGAGGAGACATTTTTATCTAGCCAATCATTATATTATTCCAAATATTCATGAATGTTTTCGAGTAAAATGAATTCTGACCAAGATAACTCTAATTCCCTATATGTCCACTTGTAATTAATAGTGCTCAGTAGTTTTTTCCATTACTATGGAATTTCAGAAGAGAAAACCTTATGCAGGCTCACCGCAAAATCTAGAGTAAAACACTTGCAATCCCTATATTTTCGTTTGAAAAACGCAATGTGAATTTGATAAAAATGTAAGTTTAATGAAAGATGAAAATGTTTGTCATTGAATTTTACAAAATAAATTAAGTTATATCACTTTTTCTTTTAATATTTACTTAGGACAACTAATTGGCTTGATGAAACCGATTCATCAACTGTCCCTACTGAACGTAATATTAAAAAAATCGACGAACTCAATCTGTATTCGTCCAATCGGTGGGATGTAATACTAATCTACCTATCGTATTTTTAAAATCATTCTACATTAACTTGTCTCATTGTTTTCTAGTGCGTTTTACAATACCTTGTAAATCCCGATAGGGGACAAATTACTCGTGATACGATTGATGTGTTTGTTCATGCTAAACTACTCAAACGGTTCTATTTTAAAATAGGCAATTAAAAAGAACCTGAATTTTTCTTTTGATACTAATAGAAACGAAGATACTTCTTCATCCAGTACTGATCCTTATACAATAACAGGTGCTGGTTTTCAATTTTTACTGATGAATCGACGGTCACAAGTGTGGTTTTTTATTATTAATTCATTAGAAACACGCCAAGTATAGATTTTTATTTTTCAATGAAAACTTTTCTTGTAGTTATAAATGCCTTTGTTTTTAGCTACGCGGCGAAGACATCAGTGAAAATTTAATATTTTTATTTCAACTTAGCTTTGCAACATTTGGCAAAGTAAAATTTAACTACTAAATCAACTTGTATCAATTAAATATTTGATTCATATAGGATTATTCATGTGAAAAATTTAGTGTAGCCAAAGAAAATTTTCTGCAGCATCTTCGTGAGCTTGGCCTTATTTGGCAGAAAACGGTAATGGACAATATTTCTAAAAATATGACAGATAATTTGCTGTCTAATCTATGAAATAATGGATGTATGCCATATATTTAGATCTACTCAGAGGGAAGGGAAGAGGTAAAATACACTGCACTTAGATTCATATAAAAAAGAAGAACGATAATAAAGAAATTTAATACATTTTCTAAACTGCGATAAGAAAAAAATAATTTTAATTATATAATATATACTTTATTGTCATAATAAATCTTACATGTAAACGATAAAAGCTCGGAAATTTATTAAAACAATATCCGACACGGTGTTTCTTTGAATATTGTGTATTTTTCATACGAGTGTCTTTTTTTTTGAAAATTTCAGAGAAAAATCAAACGTTATTTTCCAACAAAACTTGCTATTGAACTTGCATCGGGTTTATCAGCAAGTTCATTTACTGATTGTCAATTGGGCAATGATGAAATTCAATCTGGTTTTCTTATAGTTGAAACAAACTACCGTGTTTATGCATATACAAGTTCGTTTAAATGATACTACTGAATTGATAATTTTCTCTCTCGGTTTTTAGATAATGATTTATACTTAAGAATTATTGCACTATTTTGTAAGATGCTCTACAGGTATATTAGATTTGCTGAATAAGATTATTTAACCAAAAAATATTTTTGAATATTTAGATTTCCAAATATGAGTGTTGGAGTTGTTACTAGGCAAAGTGTTCGAAGAGCTTTAAGCAAAGAAATTTCTGCTGATTTGGTTCGTATAGAGTTTATATTTTATTCATTTTTTGTCAATAATTTTTGTCTTATATAGATTCTAAACTTTCTAAAATCGCATGCACATCCACAATTGCGAAAACGAGTACGAACAAATTATTTTATTTTTCTTTAAATAGACTTTTGTGACTTATTTATAGTTATTGGAAAATAAGCCATTAATACCAACAACAATAAGCGATCAAATTCGTTTGTGGTAAATTGATGTCAATTGACATTAACCATTGGAATAAATCGAATGAGATAGCTCGAAAAACAAATAGCAGATAGGGAAATAAATAGTGCCATTTCTATTTTTGACGTTTTTCTTTTCTCACCAATAACGTGCCTGTAGTTTTTTGAATGGATACAAATATGATTTTTATTTGAAATCAAACTAGCGAAAGTAAAGTGCTGCTTTCTTTTATTGTTTAATAGGGAAATGGAACGAGATCGTATTGTCGACCAAGAAGGCATGCTGTATAATCAATTCAATACTGCCAGTGATTTTGATATGATTGAAAAATATGCCAGAGTAATTTCGTTATCTTTTTTACTTCATTTCTTTTTATTTTATGCATTTATGTGTAGGACTTGAATGTATTACTTTGGAGTAATGCACAAAAACGATGTATTATTGTATCAAAAGTAGGCCATGAAGAAGTAAGACGTTTCTGGAAAATGCAACGAACGAAAACAAGCAATGAAAATTGATGAAAATTTTATTCAAAAGAATGAAGTAACTTTCATCAATCGCAGTATCTTGATTAATTTTTATATAAATATCTATACGAATTTGCTTACTCATTGTTGACAGCTTTTCTTTTGTGTATATATATATATTGAAGTCCGGTAATATCTTTGTTTGAATACCACGCAAATAAATACGACGAAACGAGATAAAGATAAAGATGAAAATTGTCATCTTTTCGAAATAGTCATGAAAATATAAATGAGATTACTCAATAGCAAGTGATAAGAAATAATATTTTGTAATTAGTTACTTATGTAATGTTCGTTTAAGAATGAAAGAATATGATCCCATGAAAGTATCATATGAATTTATGATTATTCTAAACACTCGGTCGTGTTCTGTTATTCGTATTGATGAATTTTATTCATTTATCATTTCAACTGGACACTACAGAAGTCTTCCATTGTGTGTTCTTGTTGTATACTTGGTAAATAGTTCCACAAGGTCAATGTAAAAGTGTCATACCGTCAACATGCGGGCACTTAGTGAATTTTATCAAAAATGCCCTCTTATCTTGATTCAGATAAATAGTGTCATTAAAATGACCTTCTTGACTCGATCAGAATGTGAACAAGATATACTTTTGATACGACAAAAACCTTCGTTTCCGTTTGATACCATAGAAAATATTATTAATGAGAGGAAACCATCAGAGTCGATGGCTCACATTTGATATGAGAAAATCTTCATTGATAAGAGTCCTGAAGAATTCTTTTCCATGCACTGTTTTTATACTCAATACAATACTCATTAAAAAACCAAGCAAAAATAAATTCTGATCATTAACTGTTCCCATGAACAGTCTGTCACATCAATAGAATATTGTAGAAGGACAGTTTCAGATTAAGATTTGCTGAATTTACTTATAAATATTGTATGCAATGTAAACAAAAACGTCCAATAAAACGGCTCTATGTCGAAAAGGAAAATGTATATGGTGCAATCCTTCCAGGTCTTTTCTGCTGCCAACGAACTCGATCTCATGATGGCCTTATGAAAACAGGACATGCCATTTGGGACGATTTCTTCGTAATTATATTGACATACTATGTAGACAGTTACTTTCCGCTATTATTGATGGCATGCATGTATTTGACACGAGTCGTAAAAGTGTCAAATAATCTAGGTTTTGTTATTTTCTTCTCATATTCAATTTCATCACAAAATTCTTCATTCCACTCTGGAAAAAAACATGAAATCTAAACAAATAAATACTATTGTTTTTGTGAAGGTATTTGCAATATGATAAATATACTAGTAAACCTGAAAATATACAAAATTCTTTTATATCTTATTCTATGAATTTATAGTTGAAATATGTCTTAAAATCGTGTGGTCACACATGTAACATATCTTTTATTTATTGCTATAACGCGTTTATTGCAGATGTCCGTAATCTCTCCGACATATTAGCGACCTCTACATCCTGCTACATGGTCAATTGAAATAAACATAATCTATATTTCGTCATGGAAACATTCAAATTTAGTCACACTGAGAATTTTTTCATTTCTCTAACGAGTGTTTTAAAGTAGAATTATTAAGACAGTTACTAATTGATCAATAACAAAAAATAGAAAAAATAAGAGTTGACAGTGAAAAAATGACTCATTCATCTGTCGCTTAAAGAATGGCGTGATCTTTTTCATAAAAATAGTCACAGGAAAAAAAAGTATTTCATTTGTCACCTTCATTTATGTAAGTTGACTGTATAGTTTAAAGCAAAAAATGATTAATGGAAACTTATTTCAATTTGATGATTACCAACAACAAGTACAACAACAACCAATACATATCGATACAACGACTGTAGGCGGTAAGATTAATTTTCTTTAATTAATAGAATCATCAGTCCTTGATGTTTCTATTTTATTTTAGATATCAAAGATTATTTAACATGTGATTTGAAATTATCTGATACAATTTTCAATGACTTATTTTCTGAATTCGATTTAAATCCCAATTATATCCCATATTTTGATCCTTCAACAAATACAGATGCCTATTATCAGCATTCAGCTCAAGTTTCGGGTGAATTGCCACCATCATACGATTCAACATTGCTTTCAACTAATATATCTCAAACTGCAATTGTTCAACCAGTTATTGAGAATTATCTTTCTTCAACTACATTTAAAACTTTACCAGAACAAGATCCAGCTCAACAAACAATTGTTAAATATTGTTCTTCCCCTCCACCTTCTGTTCCGACACTTCCAACAGCTTATTCTGAAGTAATTTCGACAGAAGTGTCAGACCTTTTTATTCTTGTCTTTTTAAATTTAAGTCCTCATCGATTTCATCAATGAATGAATCACAAACTCAATCTATCCGACATTCTCATGCCAAAAAATCAACGTCTGGAAAACGTTCTCGAGCACCACCACCTGCTCAACTTCCTAAATTAATTAAAAGGCCAGAACCAATACCAGTAACATTGGATCAATTTCAAGCAGTAGAGAAGCAAAAATACTTGCAATAAATCTTTATTGTTTTTATTTTATTTTAGTTAATTCGCTCTGCATCAGATACGTCAAATTCAAATGTTGGACCATTTTCAAGTCTTCTTGAAAATAGTACTATCATTGGAAATAATATTCCTTTGAAAATTATCAACCAGACAAATATTAATAGTATGAGTTCAGATGAAAACAGTCGTCAAGATTCTCCAGCGAATCAACAGAGTACAACATCAAATACACATTTCATAAATGGAGCTAACCTTATTAGTGGCGGTGGTCGCATTCGACGAAAATCATCACATAACGCTATCGAAAAAAGATATCGATCAAGTATTAATGAAAGAATACTTGAACTCAAAGAAATTGTTGCAGATGACGATGAAAAGGTATACAAGAAAAAAAAACACGGACTGAGAGCTGATAAGACGATCTCAATAAATAGATCAAATGTAAAGATCTATTTGTTTATGTTTATCACGCCATAGCTTATTGATAATATCTATTTGTGTCCTCTTTCTCAGTGAAGATTACTTTGGTGTTGATAATTTATACATCTGCTCTTGTTGTTTTTTATTAGGTACAAAAATCTGGCGTATTACGACGAACAGTTGAATATATTCGACAACTTCAATCAGTTAATCGAAGATTAGAAGAAGAAAATAATACATTAAAAACCATTTTAAAACAACTTAATTTGAAACGTAAGTCTACATATCAATAGCTATTTAACTTTTTCTCATACGCAATATTTTCTTATCGTTCTGAGATAATACATTGATTATGAATTTTTATTTATTTAATTCTAGCCATTGATATTCCAAATAATAATGATAATGCACCAGCATCATCATTAAATAAATCATCTCTAGTTAACAATCCTACAACACCACCATCATCCCATAGTGATTCTAGTGAATCAACGCTTGGCTCAAGTGATGAAGCATTCAGCCCGGTTCCAAAACGTAAAGGAGCAAAACATAAAATCCGCTCACTTTTAATTCATTCATGTTTCTTTTTCAGGACAGAAGCGTACAACTAGTAAACAAGGTATGGTTAATGGATCACGATTGATTTTATGCTGCTTTATGTTATGCGTTATTGTAACGAATCCATTTAACTATTTACTGAATTTTATTCATTCATCGGATTATAATGAGGCAACTGAAGTACAATCTATTGTTGGTTCAAGAACATTACAAGCAGCAGTAAATAATGATAATATCAATTCATCAAGTAAGTCTATTCAAGCAAAAGGAAAATAAAATAAACATCTTCAGCATTTTAACATCTTTCGTGTACATTTAATAGCATTTCTCAGTACATCATGGCGGCAATTAGTGGCTTGGATGCTTAATTTAGCAATATGTCTTGTTTGTTTGGTAAAACTTTTTGTTTATGGTGAGCCAATCGTACCTGAGTCAGAGATGCACGAATATTATATTCATAAGAAAAAAGCAGATCAACTTATGGCTGAAGTATGTAAACTAACATTTATTTACTCAATTCTAATCATTCGTTCTTGAAATTGTTTAAAAAAAGTGTTTACATATAGTCTGTGTTAGAATTTATCGAAATTCGAGTTTTTTGTTATTAAAAATACGATTTTTTTTTACTTTGAAAGGTCAATAGTTGAGTATTAATGAGAATAGATAATCTAAAAACAAATCTAGATACAGTTGAAGGACGGTACAAAAAAATAAAAACCTACTGGAAAAAGAAATATTAAAATAACATCAACATCAGTATTGTTTAGTGATTGAACGGAATTTCGCTACTTTAGTTTTCAATTAGACGTGTAACTCATTCTGATATTGAACTGGACTAAATTTTTTCTCAAGTGATTTGAGTAGTTGAACTTTCTGAAACAGTCAAAATTTTTTTTTCATATAAATTTTTTTTTCAATTTAGAATCGTTTAAATGAAGCACGCATTTATTATCGTAAATGTTGTGAAAACCTTTATGTTACAATCGATAATACACTTCTTTATTATTTATCATCGATAACATGGCAAATGACACGTTTATGTGTAAATTTAATAGTTGTTGGTCGTTGGTTAACATTTTGGTCTGGCTGGACAAAATCGATTGATACACGTGATTACAATCGTGAATTGAACGATTGTCTGTTGCAATTATGGAAAATAGAATATCAATATTCATCGTCGGCATTGTCACTTATTGATTTATTTATATCGACAATAAATACATCGGTGAATGCAGGAAAAAAATTAGATATTAAAAAACATAATGAAATTTATCTATTATCAGCATTAACATTAAAGAAATTAGGTGGAATATTTTCAATTCTCATTCCATATTTATTAAAGTGTATGTCGCCAATGGATGATAGTGACTTTTGGTTAGTTGATATGGATCGTTTAAATCAATTTATATTTGATAAAAAATATATTTTATTCAAAACACATAATTTCATCGAATCAATACGTTCACAATATTATGAATATATTATTTATGATAATATACAAAGTCAACTACTTATTCAAGATAATACACAACAACAACAACAACTTATTCTTAAAAATAACAATGACTTAGATCAGTTTATATGGTGGCAACATTGTTTACAAGTTATACGTTGTATATCGAATAATAAACAATCGATTGATAACATTATATCTAGTGATATACTTCGACACAGTGAAGAATCAAATCAAACCATTTATTATCTGGCACGATCGATGAAAATTGTTAAGTAAGTTACATATGAATGAGAAAAATGAAAATTTTCATTTTATATTTCTTTGTTTTTCAGCGAAAGATACATCATAATCGTAGAAGCAATTCATAGTATACTTCTTGTTCTTAATGATGATGACGATCAAACAAATTCAACTCGACTGTCATTATTAGAACAACTAGGACAATCAAGTCGATTAATAACATCAACGATTGAAAATTCCACGAATGATCATAATGATGATAATCTTGATTTGGTATGTCCTTTCTTATTATGAATGCTATTCAGAATATTTTCTAATATGTAATAGAAGAATTTCATTAGCTAATTTATTATTTATTTTAGGCTGTTAAAACCTTACTAATCGATGGCATTCTTTCATTACGTCTTCGTCTTCTTACAAGTACCATGGCACATAATGATCAGAAAATTCCATATCTGAATGATTTTCAGCAAGAATTAGATTGCTATAAACAACTTAATCGAATCATGAAATTACCGAAACAAAGAGTAAACTGAATAATAATGAATCTATATAGTTTTCTATTATTTATTATAATAGGTTTACTTATTTGAATCCATCTATCGTGTTTCATCCGGTTTAAATCCTTTAGTTACACAAACATTATTTGAATGTGCATTGAAACCACAAAACTCAACTACTCAATTTCAAGAAGGTAAAATAAAGAAAATATAACGAAAAAAAAACAAATAATAATAATAATAATCATTGTTTTACTATATAGAATCACCAAATCTTGATATTATCTCGGCGCTTTTATTATTTTGTCACTTTTCACCTTCGACTGTGTATCATTATCGAAATATTCTTCAACAAGCTGCTACAATATCATCAACAGCAAATAAAAATAATGATCTTAACCGTTTACGACAACAATGTTTAGCATTAGTTCGTCAACCATATTTTACTCTTTAAATATTTTTAACTCGTATAAACATACTATTTTCCTTTTATAGTATTGAGTATTTCGTTAGAGAAAGCAATCAGAAAGAAAGAAAAGAAAATGTTTTTTTTTATTGTACGTTGAAAAATATATATAAATCATTAAACTTTGGAAATTTTTTTCTTTAAAACTTTACACATCAATGTTATTTCTGCATGACGTTTTTTCAAATTTTCTAATTTATCCGTACAGTTGCCAATTTCATCGTAACGATCTTCGTAGTCGCGTAATAAGTGTTCATTACCAATAAGTCCAGAAGTTTGTTTTAACGATTGATTTTCTTGTCGTAAACGATCACGACGTCGTTTTATTGTTGCTAATGCATCACGTTTCTATTAGAAACACAAACATTTTAAATAAAAAATATATTTGAGATTATTTTTAAAATTCATTTTTTCTTTCTACATTTAATTATTTGCAAAACACGACATATATTGAATTGAAACAATTCGATAATCGAGAAATTTATTTAACAACAGTTTATAATATCCTGTTGAATGAGAATCTCAACATAGACTTTTCGTTCATTTGACGACAGCTAATCAATAGCTACTGATTTCTCGCTGTGTAAAAGAATGTCAATGATGAGATTCTATGCAAAATACAATACTTCATAGTAATGCGAAGTTAAAACTGTCTCAAGCAAGCAGTTAAGGACTGCACCAATCCTGCCATTTTGACTGTATAAATGTCTAATTTTCATAATAGTTTATGATTCTAGTCTTCGAACAAAAGATTGGAACATATGTAAATTCAAATATTCCATAGAAAAAACGAGCGACTATTTAGTATGTGTATCTGCGCACTATCAGTTCAGATTCTTAATATGAGGTCAAAGCTATGCAAATCTAGTCCTGTACATATTTTATTGTACAGCAGATACGTTTTCTACTTGAAAGCTGCTTTCGAATTTGAACTGTTTGCATATTTAAATACTCTAATGATATATGCAAAGTCTTTCAATGATTGGAACCTCTAGATCTTTCGTATAAAATTATGCTTAATTTTTAGTATTCAACACAGTCGGTAGGAAAAAATCAAATGGCAGTGCCGTAAGCTAACATAAATCAATTTGGTCGTGAATAAAATGTGGTATACTTTTAAGATTAAAACAAATGACTCCTAAACGAGATAATCGATTTTTGAAAGTCACTTAAACTCCACGAAATACAAGAGTGTATCATACGTTTTTTCAAAGGAATGTTTATGTATCTTTATCGTTTTGTGAATCTAAATATCTCGGTTGCCTATCACTAAAATATAGAATTTCAGACTCGAAAATAAAAGTCACTAACAATCCTAAAAGTTACTTCAAATAATGACAAACGTCTTACAAATGATAATCGTATGAATATCAAATTCAAATATTCGGTATGAGAAACAAGAAACTTATTATTGATGAATAACAATATATAAATTGAATTATTGCTTAATATAACTTGCGACGAGAAACTTCCAAATTTTAGCATATTCATTTGTTTTGTTTTTAAATCATTTGTGCTTACAAAACAACAATACAGTAGATATTTTAGCTAAAGATATTGTAGTGTATCTTTTGCTATTTAATATGTGTTACAAATTTTCAGTACAAATGAACTATAATATGTTGTTATTGGACAATAGAAATCGTTTATCAATCTATTCTACAATCAACTATATAAATGTTTTTCAAATATTGACAACGTAAAATTTACTTTAAAGAGAAACCTCATTTAAATTCAAAACACTAATAGAAACCAGCTGTATACATACATGTTTCACTTCTGTTTCTTTCATGCCAAGTACTTCTGCTGCCTGAAGACGTTGTTCATTAACAAAATGAAGTTTCTCTTTAATGTGACTAAGAATTTGAACAGTAGTACTAATTTTTTTACGCAGTTTCATCAATTCCTTTTTTTTAATAATAAAAGCAGAAGTATAATTTAAAATAAATCAAATCGTTTAAATGATTTACTTCATTTCTTTCTTCGATCTTTTCACTGTATGTTTGATTTTCGATTTTTAATTGTTCAAAATCAATCATATGAAGTCCTTCGGCTAGCTCTTCTTTAGATTTTAATTGTAATTCACGTTTCTTTAATTGATTTTTTAAACGAATATTTTCATGACGAGTCTAATCGGACAATAAAAGTTTCATTCATTCAATAAATTCAAAAGCAAAACTGTAGTTATATCATACTTTAATCAGTTCTTCTTCTTTTTCTCTTAATGATGCTAAATAAGTTTCAACTTCCTAAAAAACAAAATAAAATGAATATCAATTTGTAATTATGCGTTCAAAACAAAATTATAGATGACTTCAAGAAAGAGTCAAGCACTACAGGAATCTGTCAGAAGAATAATTATGATCAGATATGAGGATAAGAATACCCACACGTGCAAAAGTTTTGGGCGACGAACGCCAATCCTGCATTAAAATTCATATTCAAGATCAGTGCAAACTTTATTCGTTTATTTCTATTATTTAATAGCGTACCTGATTTGAAATAAATTTTCCATTACGTGAAAAAACAGCTTTTGATGCAATCTCTCGAACTAATTTAACATAATCAGATTTTAATTCTTCGACTTGTTCTTTTTTCTTTTGAATTTGTTGCTCATAACTATTTCGTTTTAACTCATAATCAAGTTGATCATGTTTTATATGATCTTGTAGTGTTTCGATTTCGCTAAGATATTTTTGATAACGTTGTGTTTGTTCAATCACTGCACGTTCATTTCCTTGATTTAATGCTGGTATTTCGTCGGCACCCTATTCGTATTAAATAGAAGGATAAATAATAGAAAACTATTATTCATTTTATTTTTCAAACAAAATACTTTTCGTTTATGTAAATAATCAGCTAAACGTTGTTGTAGTGCTAAATTAATACTTTTCAAACGATCACGTTCAGCTTCGGCAACCTTTGGAAATAAAGAATTTAGTTGAAGTTTTTTTTCTTTCTTTTTTATAATGATAAACAAACTTGATAGCGAGCTAAAAGTTCTTCACGACTGATTCGTACTTCAGGTTCATCTTGAACCATGTCATGTTCTTCTTCCTGTTCGAGTTTTTCGAAATCTCTAAAAATCAATGAAAATAAATCGATTGATTATTTGTTTTTATTACAACGAATGATCCGATCACATACACTTGTGGTGCTTCTCTTTGACCTCTAGCTGAACGATCTCGGCCAGATCTAGCTGATCTACGTTGTTCATCAGACATTGCCTATACATATAAGGGTAAGTATACTTTTATATTCATTCTTAAAATATCGAGTTCGTACTCACAGGAATTAATTCATCTGGTTTAACATGTTCTTCAGTTGGTAAAGCTTGAGATGTAGATATCAGTGAGTCGTCTTCTGGTGGCACAGGTGATCCAGCAGCTGTTAATAAAGGATTTTCACCATCGGATGCTAATGCTGATTGATCGGCGGTATTTTCGTCTTCTTTAATACCTAGTAGAGCTCCTTCTTCATCTCCTTGTATTTCATTTTCTGCATTAGTAACTTGTGGTGCACCTTCTTCCGCTTCATCTTCGGCAATAATTTTTTCAGCCAATGATGATTCTTCATGTTCAGCTTGTTGATCTTGTTCTGTTGGTGCACCATCACCTTCAGCAATAATTTCATGATGTAAAGTTGGCGCGTGTCCATGACCAGCACCTTCATCTTCGTGTGTTTGTAATTCTGTGGATGCCGTTATTGTATCATGCATTGATGCTGGTGGCTGCTGTTGTTGCGAGCCTGTTTGTGGAAAACGAGTTCCCTCGCCGACTTGTTCAAATCCCTCATTTTCTTCATCACCTTCAGGAATAGTTGGAGGTTGATGCATTTTAGAAAATCTACAACAAGCAAGCTCGTCGATACACAAAGGCGTACGAATAATATTGTGTACAGATTAATTAATTCATTTCTTTTTTCCATTAGAATTTTCTAATTAAACTTTCAATAGCTATTAACAAACGACTGTATTATATTAGTTAAGTTTATTTGACAAAGTGAATCATTACAAGATTCTTATATTATTTTCTTTATTATTTTATTCTATTTGAATACCAAAATATGCTATTTTTTCTACTTCTGTGCTTATCTGTCAATTGACGAGAACCAAAAACGGGTGACTATTTCTTTCGGTTCTATTCATTGACGCTTTTTATTCAAGAAAAAAAAATACAAAAATCAATATTGGATACCCTTCTTTTATTCGTGCATAGAAAATAAATTATAGTCAAACAACCTCACATTTTACTAGTCTGAATAATACAGTCAAGATAAGAACAAACTTAATATTTCGCAGCGATCAGTAATCAATAAACAAAAGAAAAATTCATATAAATGTAAGTAAACTATTGACTATTGCTACATTACATCAGAGTACAGGTCACAATAGAATAATGAATAGTTTTAAAGTTGTTTGAGATCAAAATCTGTTTTTATGCGATATTTTTTTTCTTCTAGACTCTTATTGAAAAAAAAAACAAATTATTATTCACATTATCTTATCTTCTATAGTTATGTCGACAATTGAAATTTGTTAATGAACGATTCAACAGGTTACAATGGTCGTTCTCGTCCACGAGCACAATCTCTTTTTGAATATCGTTCACAGACTAATGCTGAGATAACAGTTGCTCTATTCGATAGATTAATTGCATCTCAAGATACAAGCAGTGCGTCCAATGAAACTACTGATTGTTCAGATCAATCTGATATTATTATTCGTACTGGTCTACGACGTACAATATTTTTCATAACTCAACCTATTATTGCTGGATTTTTTATTTTTCCATTACTGATACTATTTTGGCAGGCCGGATGGAATTTTATGGTTGTATGGCTTGAAACTCCTACGAATCAACATTGGATAGTATTAGTTATGCTTTATTTCTTGGCTCAATTCATCTTTCTGTTTATCTATTTAAATCAAGATCATCTATATGATTATCTTCATAAAAAGAAACTTAATATATTTATTTCTCTTGTTGTACAATGTCATAATTTTATTGTTTCTTCAACTTATATTATACAATGGGTATCAATGTGGACAGTATGGGACCGTTATACACCAGCTGATTGGTTACTTATGCTTACAATTAGCATAGCAGCTCTATTAACTGTTATTGGTTTAATGGGACATCCATGTGATCTTGTCTGTGCTCCATTCATACTCAGTTATGATTCTGTTGAATATAATATTCGAATTGGATCACCATTTTTAACAAAAAACGTAATTGATTTAACTTATTTTAAAAACAAACCCAAAAACAAACAAAAAACTTCATCGAAAACTAATTCTTATTTATTTATTTATTTATAGATAAGTGAATGTTTTGCTCATTTTCTTAATTATATGTTTTATGAATATATTATATCACTACTATCTATCTTGGCATGGCGTGGTTCCTACACATTACTTGATGTTTTCCTTTTTCCAAAAAATCCCTTAATGTCCGCTGTTTCAAGTCTTTTTCTTGGTTATCCATTATATTTTTTACTTATGTATACTCAATCTTCTATGAAAAAACTGTGTCAACTGCCAACGATTACGTATTTAAATTATCCATCTTTAATATGTAATATTCGTCATCTAACCGCTTTTTCTGCATGTGTCCTATTATGGAGAGGATTTTGGCTTTTATTTGATACATACATTGCTACGATGACATTAGCAATAAAATCTCCTTATTTATTCTATCTAATATGTATGTTTATATCTTTTTTTATTTTAAGTCTTTTGAGAACTGCATCATCTATTAATGGTCCTATGTCGCATATGTTCGATCAATATGATCTTTTTCCTGATTATCCAAATTGTTATTTAGTCGAGTGGTTTAATCAAATGAAAAAAATAGATGATACTTCATCAAAATCAAGTAAAAATACAAGGATTTAACTATAAACTATATAATTTCTGTAATAAAACAAAAAGAAAAGATCATTAGAATTTTTTTTTAAATATATTTATATAAATGTATCTACAAGACTGCGTTTTGTTTCTGTGTTTTTTTTTCAAGCTAATTTTTATGCTCACTAGCCGGTTGCGAAGGAGCAGTTGTTGATGTACGTTCAAAACTTGGTTCACCGTCCAACATGGGCAGCATTCGTAGGGAACCATTAGTTGGAACATTCGCTTGCATTGATACATGTCTTGATTCAGTTAAACTTGAATTTGATCGGTCATCAACATCTCGTGTTTGTTGATATCGAATTGCTCTATCTAATAAAATAGAAAAAGAAAAGAAAAACAAGTCATTCTATGATCTATCCAGACAATGAATGTGATCATTCAAGATCGGATAGTAGTTTCATAAGTTGCTTAAATGATGAATGACTATTATGTACTTAAAAATTATCAACATGTTTTATTTAAAAATACATACCAACAAGAATATTTGATGAACCACTTGTACCAATCGTTCGCCAATCGATTAAGTATTCATCATAATTTAGATTATGTGTCCATTCAAGTAATTCGTTAACTTCCCAATCTTCGACAGCTTCTTCGCCAAATGTATTATATATTCGTAATATACTTGCTGTAGTTTCATTGATAAGACGAGACATTTCATTTTCACTGTCGTTTTCTTTTAGATCCTCATTCTTATTTGCATTAACCATACCAGCTTGATACCTATTGGAATAAAAATTATTTATACAAAATTAAAAATGAATAAAACATACATTTTTTTAAGCCACTCTAATTTTCTTTGTTTGCGTCTCTGTTCTACATCTTGTCGTCGCTGCATCTACTAAGAATAAATCGAAGATTTGTAAACATTACATTTGAGAAATAATAAGTATCATTTTTTCGTACTCTTGAATGAGAAAACGGGGTGGGCTTTTTAAATTCATTTGAACAAAAATATTGGTCAATGTTCACTTGCAATAAATGTGTATATGCAACTGGCCTCCAACCATTATTTTCAATTCGACGATACCATCCACCTTGATCTATAGAAATCGTAGCATTCTCAATAAACAAAACAAAATCAATGAATATTTTAAGATAAGAACCTTGTTGTGGAAATCGATTTAATTTATTATTAGAATCCACTGCACTTTTTAATCTTAGATAAGGACGTGTGTAATCTCTTGGCGCATTAGCGCATATGTCTTGAATAGGTCGATTTGTAAACATTTTATAGTAAATTGTCGGTGGAAAACGTTCACCAGCTAAACGAAAACGTATGCGAACACCAGCTGCCGGATCTATATATTTTGCTTCTGTGGGATTTATTGTACGCATTAAAATTTGTGGATCACCGTTATTATGAAAATTGATAAGATCACGATAGAAACGAAATACTTGCACATCCTAAACAAAAACCGAAATTTTTGTCTAAGTTATTTTCGGAGAATTATCTCTATACAATATAGCGACGCCATAGTCGCTGAATTTTTCGAAGTCCTTCGATTTGTTTTTCTGTATATTCCAGTGACATGTCTCAAACAAATGACTTCGTAGCATGTAAGCTTATTTTCTCTTCCACATATGACTATTATTATATTGAACGTTGCTAAGGCAACAACTTTAACATTAATGGTTAATTGGTAATAAGATCTTTTTTGATTGATTTCTTATTTAAATCAAATAAAAATGTACAGGATTAATAATTAAATAGCCGATGAAAAGGTTTTCCGGAGAGTCAAAAAATATGATTGGTCATAATATGTAAAATCAGAGAACCAATTGTATTGGTCGGTTTCAGGTCAAAATTGCTTTTACAATTTCGATCTTTTCCTTTTAACCCAGTTCATTAATGAAATTCGCTTAAAGTTCTGTTTAGTTTTAACTTCTCATGATAAATAAATATTTCTTCACTTAAATCAAAATAATGAATCGACTGCAGTACAATTGAAACTTCGTTTTGATGTATAAGTCAACGGCTTGCTGAAGCAATTCATTCGAAAATTATTATAGAATTCGAACAGTGAAGTAAGTTAATTTAGTATTGCGTTGAAATAGTAAAAATGTTAGCACTGATAAGAGTTTCGATAAGCGTTACATCACCAGTGGTTTGGATTAGGTACATGCATAGATAGTACACTCATGATCTTGATGTTGGTAGTTTCTTTTTAATCACAAAGACGCTTTTCCTAGACTCGATGGAATTTAATGCGCTTTAGAATCTTTCGAATAAGCAAAATAAATTTCAAAAATTGTATTCAATTATCTATCCATGGAGTTCTAGAAATTGATCGGAGAAAGCAGAAATATACAATGCACTTCAAATACTTGATTTGTATTCATGCTGAATTATTAAACAGTGAATCATTGAGACGGAGATCCTAGGGACACCCACACTTGCTTTGAATTCGATATGTGCCCAAGAATTCTGTCTAACCAAACCCGTTTATAGCGACCCGAGAAAAAAAATCATTACTAGCAAGTCAGTACTCAAACAGACAAATAGTTTTGACGCCAAGTTAAAAGACCATGTTCACCATTGAAAATATGTAACAATAAAACGTTAAAAAAATCATACGAGTCATCTAGGAAACGTACATAGGTGTTTTCAGATAGTGGTTTTTTGACGGCACTGTGCAAAAGAAATTAATTTCATGTGCAGCAAGAATGGTTTAAAAAGCGCTTGTAAGTTTTCTTAATATTAGAGCAGTGCTTTAGAGTATCATGATGCTTTTTTTGGATGATTAAGATACTTTTTTAATTTCACCGAATGATTGTAAAAACGTTTCGATAGGATGCACGATTCAGGTGGTTAAGCAATTCTTTAGAATTACTTCTTTGTCTCGGCGATGAATACACAAATATTGCTCGACTTCAAGTAGACCTAGGTAACTGTTTGCTGTGAGAGTTTTTTTTTCATCCATATCCGTTTACTATCTAATGGCATAATACGAACAGTGGCGGCGCGACCGGAGGGTACCTTCCTTGTGCTTTTGAAAAATATGAACTCAATTTTCTTCGATTTTGACAAAAAGTTATATGAAATTTTCTCTCGCTTCGAGCATAATACATCGGTAATATTGTCCCACTTTGAAAAAGTACCTCCTCCTGCTTTTAGCCCTTCGCGCCGCTATTGAATACGAACATGTCGCTTTTCACCCTTCAAAAGCTGTGCAATCATTTTGATATGTCAATTGTTACGTGCTTCTTCTGGTTTGAATTCTTTTAAGTATATTACATTCAATAGTAAAAATTTTGCTTTGCATGATGAATATCTTGCATGCTAATTGACATTTGTGCACGAATTAAACCTACATAGATTATTTTGATTTATACCAGAAATTTCCACCCAAAAACAAAATAGACCAACGAGGTACTTGGTCAGTTCTGTTTTCTTCATAATTTCATCTTTTCATATTACATAGATGCGCTCTTCTGTGACGCTACTCACAAATTTACTCTCCTGTAAAATTATAGTCATTCATTGAAGCAGAAATAAATTTCTTTAAACAGTATTGAATTGTTTTTTTTTGTGCAAATTTCAACTAGTTGAAGTTAAAAGGTATTTCTTGATTTGAGTAACATATCTGGATCTCTTTGTAAATAGCTTAAGGTAAAAAGTCTACTGAGATAGCAGTCACGTACTGCACATATATTTCACCAAACAAAAATATGCGCATGAAACTTAATACGGTAATTTATTTTATAAGATATGACTGACTAAAATAGCTATGCTCTTAATGATATCTTCATTTGGATTCTTATCGAGAAGAAAATGCACTTGATTACCTCTACAATGTATAATGTTATAAGTCTACATATATCGATGTGATATCAAAAGTCTTTTGATTTAATTCATCAGTTTTGAATGGCAAATATAATTATTTCATACACAACTATGCCATTGAAGAAACTTTTTATTCCGTTTTGAATAGATCAAAATCGTTACAGATTAAAGTGTTTCCGAGTAGTGTATACATTAGTGGAGATGAACGCAATTTTCTAACATGAAATATCTATTTAAAAAGTATTATTCATACCATTTGTCATGTTTTGCTAATGAGATTATGAACAATAGAGCTAGTGAAGCATCATATAACAAAAAAGTAGTTGCATGACTTTTTGTTTCAAATAAATAGGGATTGTCATAAATACACCAACCTTTTTTAAAGGAAAGCTATCATTGAAAGTACTCATAACCTAGAGCACAATCTGTCACTGTGAATGAATTTTTGATAAGGACATTCTCTACTTTGAGAAGGTTCGCATTGGTATTCAGACAAAGACATATGATATCATTTTAAAAGAATAGAAATGACATACTAATGCAGTAGAGCTAGCATAAAAACTCCAATTTCGCTCATAATTGAGCAACATTAAAAACAAAATATACGCATTTGAGTTATCACACTTGCTAAGCACGCGCATAAATATTTATCGAACTAATTATGTGATAGGAGTCTATATTCTAAATATATTATCATTGAACAAATACTATTTAAAATAAAAATGACTAAAGTTTCTGTTAGTCTCTGGTCATAATTAGGCCACTGTTGATTTAAACACCTTGCATTTTTGCGCTGAACACAATTTCTATTATTATGCCGATTCACTTTTTAAGAAACAGAAATCTATGATTGTGAAATATCAATTCATGTTTTTAGCTCTATTTTATTATCATCTCAATACTATAGAAAGCTATTTTACAATCAAAAAATTTGAAAAAAAATATCGTTTAGAAAACATTGACCAAATAAAGTCCGCCAGAGTATAAGTAAAAATACGATTGTCTTCGTCGTGACCGATTTATTTTCTAGTTCATAATTGTCAACCAGAACTGTTATTAAGAGGATAAGAAAAGAATTCAAATATTTTTAGAAAATCTACTTGCTGTTTATTTTTTATTTTGTTGACGATGCATTTTAAATACATTCTGTTATTATGAGTTTCGACGAGAGAATATAATCACATGTATAAACGACCACAGTATATTCATTATAAAGTGAATTATCATCAGACGAATACATTAAGAGAAATGTTTCACTTGAAGAAAGAAAAAAACTAGGCGGTATAATGCTCCACTAGCAAAGGACTGGATAAAATAGTTCTTAACGGTAGGTCATGAATACAGTTTTATGACCTACTTTGACTAATTTTAGTCAAATTATTATTTATTCTCTTGAAAATATGGATTACGTACAAATTTTTATGAGAGACGATGAAGGAATATTGCAGAACCATAAGAGTACACTGTTCAAATCTGTTAACATTCTGAAAATCCTTCGCAAATAAGACAGATGAAGTTGATAAATCCGTAAAGATCGTATTACAATAATGTCTTGCTTGTAATAGATGAACTGTTTAATTTTGTCTTATTTTATGAATATTAAGTAAAACGATGATAAAGAAATGTATACGAAAATAGGTAGAACAAAAGGATCTTTCTATGATTAACAAGTGTAACTAAATAATATCTCATATTTTTATTTCGCAAGAATTTTGTTGGTAGCTTTTTTTTGACAGAAAAGACATTTTCAACAGAATGAATACTGTTATTAATGATAATGAGTTCATCGCTATTTCATCTATAGTAAGCAGTAATGCGTTCGATGAAATGATATCATCATAGGATTTGATCAATTTTCCGGATTGGATTGAATTTTATTTCGGTATACAATCTGGTTTTGATCCAAATGGAGTTATATTTTTCTCATAAGTGATAAATCACGTTTTGTTTTTGAAGATTTATATACTCGAATTGAAATAGATTTAGTAGGTCAACGGTATAATCTTCCATCATTCACTGATGTGATCAATTTATGATAGTTTAGTGAATTTATGAATCTTGGTAGTATCTAAGATTTTGATATAATTTCAAGAATACACATACGATGAAATCTTTCCTATACAAGAACTATGTGTAAAGCGATTAATGTATCTAAGGATTTAAATGACTTCATTGTATACATATTTACATAATCATTCATTACAACAAATTTGCCAAATGTACGCTCAAAACTATTGCAGATAATATGCATGAAACTCATGACTAACTATTCATAGCTGAGAACGAATTAGGAAAAGGTACGAGTACTACCATGATTATTTGGCAGTAAATTTATTCAATAGCACGCTTATCTATTCGAATTTATGTGAAAATTGAAGCTTGCCTCTCATATAAACTGTGGAACAGTTGTTCAGTAGTAGATTGCATTGAAATTTAATCGCTCAATAAGACCCGCATGTAGGGGTGGCAGTTTAACCGTCAAGTTTAAAGTTATTTAAGGTCGCCTTTAAACGCTTCTTTTTAATACTTTTTACTGTGCTGATGTATTTAGCCATGCTTATGAGACTCTCTGAAACCGAAAAAACGCCAAAAAGAAGCATTTAAGCGTGACTTAAAAACAACTTTAAACTCTGCATTTTACGGTCAATTTAAAGTTAAAGTGCCACCCCTACTCGCATGTTAATAAGTTCATTTTTTCTAGTTTACTCTATTTCTTGTAGTCTCTTTGAATTACTTTGAGTTTTTCTCTTCAGGTTTTGACGGCATACAACTAAGCATGAATAATATGAGACTGAAAATGTAACGAGTTTGTTTCCTGTCATGAAAACTTCTAATTAAGATATATATAACCGATAGACTTCTCGTTTTGTAAGTGTAAACAGGACAAAGAAAGATATGAACATTGGATAAGTAGTCATACATATAAAAAATACATTCTACATGTGGATTCAATTATTCCTATGTTTTGATTAAAAATAAAGAATATTTGGCGTGAGAGCGTTTGCCTAAAACGAAGACAATAAAAAAAAACGCTTCTTCCATTCATGTTACAAAATATGATATTTTTCTTTCTTCATTGTCTTGATTTTAATTGTTGATTGAAACTAGGATACCGCTTAGACTTTTCTGTTTTTCAAACACAAACTTTTTGCAAGTACTAATTGATTCGCAATACGAAATCCACTTACGACTACTACTACTACTACTACTACTACTACTACTACTACGTATAAAATGTTTCGGTAAAAATAAATCATTAGTCAAGCATTCTGAATTGAAGATTTTTAAATATGCACATGACCCACACTATAAAATTTTGTTGTCTTTTTTCATTATCTTAGCTGTTCGACACGCAAGATGAAATCAAACGTAATCTTCATTGGAAAACTTCTTTCAGAATAATAAATAAAAGTTTATTTTCAACCTTTAATTGATATACAGTTAAGCGTTTTCTTTTTACAAATATTTCAAAGATTTTAACAAAACATAAGTGGCACCTTGTAAGATGATATATGATCTATGTTCTATAGCAATTTTTTCCCGTTAACTCATTGTCGGCTTTTTTGAAGAAAAAAAACGTTTGTTTGATAAACATCCGCAACGTTTTCGCTTGCCATTTGACGTATCGTGATATAAGTGTGAAATATGAATGTCGATTTCTGCAAGTTCACGTCGTGTTTTAAGCAACTTTGACATGCATGCATTGGTATGCTCTTCTATAAACAACCTTAATAGACGATGATGAGAGCTGATAAAGTAAGAACTATCATGAGAGAGTGATGCAAGCGTAGCCCTATACGCAATTATAGAGAAAAAAATGAACTGAATGTTGAAAGAAGCTACTTTTACATAATCCGTGACTTCGCTGTTATTCATTCTACAGCATAGCATGCCTGTGTAGAATATAAAGAGAAGATTTTTGTTTCCAGAAAGATCAAGTCTAACTAATGAATATGGATAGACACACAAAAAGAAATCGCGGGTAGCCTATGCATGCTAGGATATTCATTACATAATACTCGTTCATAGAATTTGAATGCAAATATTCTCTTCATTAGATAGGAGTTTTGATTAGCAGTTAAAAACACTATATTTTTTAATTTAAAAAATGTATTTCTAGTTTTTCGTATCTCTTATATTTGAATGATTGCGATTGAAAAAGTATCCTAAATTGAACATTATTCTGTAATGTTTCCAACAGTGTCCAAGAACTAAGAAATAGGAATTCCTAATCTGCCGAGGAATTGCCAGTGCCGCTGTGATAATTCCTACAGAAAATGGGAATCAACCATTTGTTCCCTCACAGTTCCACCATTCACGAAACTCGCGATATTACTTTTTTTAAATAATTTGTGCACGGAACTATTGATTCTCACAATTTTGTAAATGAAGATGAGTGTAAGAACAAAAATTGTTGTGAATATTCCATATTTTTACTGTTAGTATGCAATGAATTGAAGTGGAATTCCTAATTCTCAGCCCTTGGACACCCCTCAATATTTCGAATAAAATGATTCTATTTCAAATAATATTCATAGGTGAAAAAGAATATTCAATTTCGAAGAATGCTCTCTATACCTATTAAAAACATTTTATCATTTTCTTTCATCACGCTAAAGTTCATGGAAGAACAGAATAATAATTATATAGATATATAACAAAGAAAAGCAAGAGAGCAAAGGCCAAAAAAACATCTAAACCGATAGACGACAATATAATCGGCCTTGAAACACGTGACTTTCATAAGGAACCAAAAAACGTACTTACTCGTAAAGCTTGAATCATGATAACCGAATACAAAGGGAAAAAAGAAGGAATCCGATTACTTTATTTATTTATGATACGTAGCATGTTCGATGACTTAAACATTGAAAATAAGTGCGTTTTGTTTTTTAGGACAAAAACAGACGATATAATGTTTTTCGTCAAAATAGAGAGATTTTGAATATGTACTCAATTGGATAACTAAACTAGCTAACCTTTTAAAATCTATCTTTACAACAGTTAAATCAAGCATAATTCCAATCGTTTATTTACCATACGAAAATTTCCATATTGAACTACGTATCAAAATCATTTGTATAATTATATTGTAATTACCAGTGAGTCATCAGGCTCACTGTTGCGGAGTATTATAAAAAGTAACATTATTTTTGTAGTCGGAACATTCCGTTTTTTTTATGCTCTATTTTGAAGAATAAATTTTTGAATTTTAGCTTCATAAAAATTATATCTAATTTTATTGTGATTATTTTTCTTATTTAGCAAAAATCCAGACGATCAACATTTAAATTACCGTTACTTATTCAAAGAAAAGAATTGATTAAACATAGACGTTCTTTTTATTGCTGTTTCATTCTCAAGTTTCATTCGGTTGTTGGCAATCTTTTGCGATAGTTGTTATTTCATTACTATTAAGTTTATCGGAATCAGAGTAAAACAACAAATATTGATTAGTACAAATTTATGGTACGTTATTCTCGGATGTACTTTTTTTCTTGTTATTTACGGTTTCCCTCAAGGTTTCACGTTTCTTTAGTTTGATTGCGTATCATTATCTAGACAGTCGAATAGCTACGATCGATCGTATACAATAGTGGCTTCCTATTTTTTACTCTAAAACCCAATCCAACTCTTATAACCATGTATCACAACTCACATTATTTTTTTCTATTTTTTATTAGATTTCAAAATCTCAATAGGCATAAAAATGAACAAAATTGAGAAACAGAAAAAATAATCTATGAACAAAGAATAGTTATATAATTTAGTATATTACACTTTTTTGCTTCCTTTTTTTCATCTATTTTTATCATTAGCATCTGCATCTCTTCTAGCCATAAAATTTACAACTGGGAAGAGTAGGAGAAAAGCGATACTCAGGCAAGTGCATTAAGAACAAGAAAAAATACTGCAGAACAGAGCAAAAAGAAGGAAGAGAAAAAGAAAAGAGAAAATGTCGCCTTGGCGCTATAAATAATGCTTTGCAAGCGCCCGCTTTATCTATATCTGTACGTAAGTGCATTTTTGCATTCTATATCGCCGTCTATTCTCTGTGTTTATGTAGAAAGTATAAGAGAGAAAAAAGAGAATAGTAGACTGTCTAACGTTTGTTTCGAAAATGGTTGTGCGATTAAGTAGGTTATAATTTTTGCAGTCTCCAAGCAATACATAGAGGTTTCTATTCAACATAAGCTATATCAAAAATAAATAGAAATTAGTTTAGATAAAGGTAAGTAAGAATAATATATTTTTTCATTTAAACCACCTTAAAATATGTATTCAAAATATGTACAAATGAAATCTTCATAAAAAAAGAAATGTGTCGATGACCTTTTTTTTTCTTTTCTGCACTCAAATTCAAATCAGCACATATTCAACCTCACATATTTGGCCACGTTTATATTTTTTTTATTGGATGCTGCATTTACGCAAATGTAGGAGTAGAGTTCGTTGAATACAGATTTTTTTCCTTTTTTTTTATAAAAATCACAGTTTCACTGAAAAAATCATTCACAGAAAATTGATAAGCGATAAAATGAAAATTACGATATAAAAATTTTGTGAATGGCTGTAATAATAATAATAAAATGAATAAGATACATATATACATACTTAAATGATTATAAGTGTATTATAATTATTTTTTATTTCAAAACTATTTTTTTTTCTTCGCCGCATTTATACTCAAGACAATCATAACTAGAAATACTAAATTCCTTCTTATTTCAAACTGATTTTATTTCTATTTAGTTAGAGTCTAGTCATGTTCTGCTGTATGTACATATGCGGACATTTTTATTTCTCAATAAAGTTTATTATTACCTTTTATGATATTTTTTCGCCTTGTATCATAATGATGCATTTGTTTTTATTCTTGCTGCTTTTATTAGTGAAGGCGTGTCTACATATTTCAGTAGCGGCATACAAAATATCGCACAAACAATCTTTCTTGTTAACTAATCATATTGTTTTTTTTTACATCATAGGCCTTTTTTCAGATAGATAGTAATGAAAATAAGAAATTAACAAAATCATGAGCAGTAACAGTGATAGAGCAACATCAATGGTCGAAGTCATGGATGATGGATCAATAAGTATGGATGATGATATTACGGAAGTTGACTATAAGCAACAATCTCGTACGCATACAGCACGTTCGAGCGCTGGCAGTACAAGTAGTAATGGTACAGGAACGAAACGTCAAAAAGATATATCACCATGTTATGTGTGTGGAGCGAAAGCCAATGGGTACAATTTTGATCAAAGTAATAAAATAGACAAACGATATAATAGATCTTTTTTTACATTGTATTAATTGTTTATATCTAGTCACATGTGAATCGTGTAAAGCATTCTTTCGTCGCAATGCATTAAAATCGATGGTAAACATCTATTAATAATTATTCGGCTGAAAAATAAAAAGCTATTTATTAAATATAATTTAGGAAAAATTTCGCTGTCGTAATAATGATAGTTGTGTTGTAACGTCAGTGACACGGAAACGTTGTAAGCGATGTCGTTTAGCTAAATGTTTTCAAGTTGGTAAGTACTTAATAATAATAATAATAGAAACATTGAAGAAAACTCTTATTACTCGAATCCAATTAGGCATGAGAAAAGAATGGATATTAACAGATGAAGAAAAAACCTTAAAACGTCAAAAAATTGTGCGCAATCGTATGATTAAACAACAAGCACAACTAAGTCTTCAACAGCAAACAAATGCTACAGTTCATTCAACTCTTCAAATAAATACGAAAACAATTGAAGTTAGTTTCTAAAGCAATTATTGCACATTTTACATTTCCTCTATTTAAATACTATTACAGCTCCTAATAAGAATGAAAAAGTTTCTAATAGGAAATCTTGAAAAATTCTGGTTGTCGAAGGAACAATAGGTTTTTTTATTTTATTTTTTTTAAAATTTAAATGTAGAACAAAAAACAACAAAAAGATAAGGTTGAAGTAATTCAATCTTTTATCCTCTTATGCTAATTCAGTAGAGTTGGTGTTAGGTCATCGCCAGGAAAAAAAAGGTTGTAGAGCTGTCGATCATCTCGTTTATATATTTTAAGTTGGACAAAGTTATTTCACTATATACGTAAATGTAGAATGATTCATTAGTGATCCATTTTTAGTGAATGAAATAATAATTATATTCATTTTTTATCTGATTAGTTAACTCCTTTTCTCGCAGGTATACCAATCTTTCTTTTAAACTTTAGTAGAGTTAGAAATGCACTTATTTTCCGTGAAATTATTTTCTTTTTAAAGTGAATGTAATATTTTGTTCAAGTTATTACTTATCTGATGGGAAACAGATGCCTACGGAGGAGTATCACGTACTATATGGCATCATAGTTCCTAATATCGAGACGACCAATTAGGTCACCGGATGAACATTTTTACGCCAGGCTTCACAATGGATGAAACCGGTAAATGAGTCGTTTTCATAGAAAGATAAATTATTCGACACATTCATTTGTAGATATTTACAGATTGAAATCAATTCGTCAATTTTTTCTTCATCTTAGTATCCATAACCTTCATTTAATGTTTATAATACAACAGTATTAATTTTGATTTCGAATCGAAATCATTCAGTCGTATCGTCAACAAGTCAACAAAATGAAAGGTTATTAAAAAAATCGACCGTGTTCTATCTGACATCGATAAAAAAATTATTTTCAACATCATTTAGAAATGTGTTCTGACTGATTACTTATTCAAATTAAGTTTTCAGTATGAATATCGTGTGATCTATGAATTTATATCAGATATGGCAGGATACTAGAAAATTATTTTTGCGTTTTTTTCATTAGAAATTGGTCAAACTGACACAAATTCTTACGAATCAATATTATTTTTGAATAGGTTGTCGCTATGATATCCTCATAAATATCATGATAAATCTATCCGTATTCAAATAATTTTCTAACAACTGCTTTGCAAATAGACCTTGTCTGTAGTGTTCCATGTCACATTTGCAAACAGCATAATATTGACTCAGCGTAACTTAATAGAAGCGAAGCAAATTTTCCTATTTTTTTATAAGAAAAAAAAAGCATACCTTTTCCCACTCATAAGCCTTAGTGAAGTGATGATTGAGAAAGAAATCAATTCATATGATAGTATATTTTGTATGATTCATATGTCATATTTATTGACACTGTTGTAGTATGACAACGATTACAATTTAATCATGGATTTAAATATCAAACGTGTTTCACTATAAAGCATAGTATGTGAAAGGCTTAGGTCGAGTTCACCACATAATCCGTAAAGTTAAGAGTTAAAAAATTCGAATAGAAACTTTCCCAATAAAAATTTCACTTATTCTTGATGGAAAAATTTTCTATCGAGCGTGCAGAAACATTTGATGTACAAGAAGAGATTTTGTAAAGTTTTGTTTTTCTTCCTAACCTTCTAGAAATCGCTATCTAAAATTGAGCAAACTCTCAGCAGTCCATTACCAATAATGTACATGAAGCCTCCACCAGATCAACAATTGTATGAGCGTCAACAATTTTTACTTGACCAATTATCAAATGGATATGAATTAATAGCAAATCAGTATCCGCAACCCAATAAATTTGTTTATCGTAATAAAATCATATATCAAACAGAAAATTTCGACGAGAAATTATCACTAATTAAAGATTTAACAAGAGAACTAACACAAATGACAACATTACGCCTATTAAACTATTTTAATTTAATACCTGAATTTCAATTATTATCACAACAAGAAAAAAAAACTATTCTTACACAAAATATGTTAACAGTATTTATGTTTCATGGAGCATTAACATATAATGCCGATAACGATACATTTGTCGATCGGACATTAGGTAAGAGCAAATTAAAAGTTATTCATTAAAATGAAAAAGTTCATTCAAATTTAGCTGATGACCCCTATGATGCCAAATATTTACTTTATGTATATGGGCCAAAAGTTTATGATAATTTTATTGCATTAGCTAAAGTATTATGTTCTGTTATATACCAGTCAATAGATGATAAACAATTCGAAGAACATTCACATACATTATATTTACTACTTATGGTGGTTCTTTTATTTTCCAATGACTTTCATGCTAATGCAATTGAAGATAAACAATCGAAACTATCTAAAATTCAACACAATTATATTGATATAGCATGTCGACTCTTACATGATCGATTTGGTTTTACCCCTGGACGACGATTGTTTCAAAAACTTTTTCCTTTACTAATTGGTAAATATTAACAGTGGGAGATGAAAATAAACTAGAGCCATGTTTCTCTTGATTCAATAGACTTAACATGTACAAGTAATATTGACTTCGATTTAAATCTTTCACGTCAGTTACTCGTTTTTAACGTTGAGGATTAATTGCTCTAGTCTTGCTTAAAGTCTACACAATGAATGAGGATTACTATGACTAGTCATTTTATATTTCCAACAATATATGATCTTATATCTAATCACCAAAGTTTTATGCATAGAAATCTAAGTAGTTAATCGATTTTTTTCTTTTTTTTTGTTTTCTTCAAATTCTTATGGTTATCATTTTTTTGTATTTATATTAGACCTTCAGAAATTATGCTCAGCACTGGCAAATGTTAATTTGTGTGAAATGGCGGAAGATGAAGATCGATCATCATCATCATCATCATCATCATCATATCGAGCAATTACAACATCAACAGCAACAACAGAAACAAGCGTGACAACTTATCATGGTGATCAACAACAATCAGTTCAAACATCATCAATATCGTCTTCATTGGAATTTAACTCAACAATGATAAGTGGCACATCTCATTTGAATGAATTACAGAAAGAAAACCGAGCGCCATCACCACCATTGTCTTTTAATTCAACTTCACAATCACCAAATGTTCGGTCGTCACCATCGGTTCTTTCCAGCACAACAACAACATTTCATAATTATTCAATATAAGCAATATCTATGCGATCAACTCTAGTATTTGTTTTGAGTTTTTGTTTTCTATCGATCAGTCATAGAATATTAAAGTCATATGATTAGTGATGTTTTTTCTTTCGTTCTTTTTTATAAACTACTTGTGAAACTTACCAATATACTTATGAATATATATATACATTTAATTATATATTCTATGTCAATGATTGATTCTATGGCATACTCTTTGTTTTCATTTTATTGATGTTCTTTGCTTCGTCTGTGTTACTGTTAACAGAAAGTTCTTTTAGCTTCGATTTGGTATTTTCGTGCGCTAGTATAAGCTCGTGTGTTTCTTTCTTAACTAGTACTAATTATTGTTCTAGCTTACGTTTCAGTTGTACAGGTATAGATTGACGAAAATAAAAATCAGAAAAAAAGTGAAAAACAAAAGATACCTTTAGCAATCAAAAGAAACTAATAGAAATCAGAAAAAATATGAAAGATCATGAAGAACATATTTTAACGTTTACTGTTGAGTTCATTTAAAGTATTAATGAAACGATACACTATAGAATATATTGAGATAATTCATCATTTAAATAATACTAGAAAAATTCTCTCCCAGCTCAAGTGTTCTTCGTGATGTATTGTGATGATAAAAAGTTGCTCTGCAAATAATTGCTACCTACAGTCGTTGTTTTCTTCTGAATATACATTACAACAGGAGGACAACATATTTTTTAGCACATAATATAAATTTGTTGCAAATGAAAAAAACTGATAAAATATTTCTAATTTCTTGTGACAATACTTTTTGCTAATCCTTTTATTGAAAATATGATTACTGATAATATTAAAAATTAAATAAGTCAGTTTATTTTAAATGATTGCGTTGGTTATCTTTTACGTATGCATTTCTGAGTGATTGAGTGCCTGACATGTTCTCTTTAATCCATTGAATGACGCAAAATAATTTCTTTTAATTAAGTTGTCTGCAGTAGTAATGCTTCGCTTAGAAAAATCTGGCACTCAAAATCAAAATGATTATTTGAATCAAATTATTTAAGTTTGTTATCTTGACAGTTGCACAAAAAGTCTAAAGTCTTTCTGCAGTTTCAACTAATTCAAGATAGAACTGCTTTCTGTCAGTGTCTACTATTTAATTAGAGATCAAAATTAAGAACAACGAGCTATACTAACTTTTATGTCGTAGCTGCATGATTTGTTTTAGTGAAATATGTTTTATAATTTGATGCGACTTCAGTAAGATAGCTTAGCTACTCCAATTTTGTACAGAATAAAAAAACTACATAAATTGAGTGATAAAGTCATTTTTGATTAGCTATATCAAAGTTTCAACAAGAGAAAATAAGTGTTGCAAAGCTATATTTTTCGCAAAAATATATTTGCCCTTGAATTAGTGACAGAGGCCGTACAAGAAAACGCATCTGAAATTAGTGTAACTATATATGGAACATGACAAACAATTTTTTCAACAAGGGTGATTATTTTGAATAGAATATCTGATACAATTTGTAGTGGTCTTGCTAATGACGGATTGAACAATAGAAGTAACTATTATTCGAACGAGAAAAGTGTCATTTACCGTATGTTAGAAAAAGATTCCGGATACAGTTAAAAAAATTTGTTGTTTCTTTAACCTATTTTCCGTGTCAAATTACGATTGAAATTATGAGACATGTAGAGAACAACTTTTCCTAGAGAATTATATATAATAGAAACAAATTTAACCTAATCAACAAAGGCAAAATTATTATCAAAAATAAAAAAATAAAAAAAATAACGATAATTTGGAAGGACAAAAAATATAATAGCATACTATCAATCTACCTGATCTAACTATTTTAGGTCTAGACAAAAGAATAAAAATGAAATTATTTTGCTGTTGAATAATTTAAAAAGTTGCTATACATCCTATATTATCCGTGAATTTATACTTGATTTTCTATTAAAAAAACCTGGTTAATGCTCTGTTCCTATGAGTCCGTTATAACAATCCGATAGAATACCTATCTTTATGTCCTTCTCTCAGCTGTATTTTTTGTTTTTATGCACTTACTATTTGCCCTCACTGCATGTATACTATTGATTTATTATATTCATAGTATTATATACGAAAAATCTGTCGCCCCAATCTATGATTAGTAATATTGATTAGTGCTTTCTTTCTTTCTATCCTTCCCAACGTCTGTTCTTCTCTATCGCATCGAGTAATATTATAAAAATAACACTTGTGATATCAGAATTTGTTACACTACTCATGAAATATGTTTAGCTCATTTTTGTTGAAACTTAATTTACAATGTTGCTGATTGATGCTGGATGGGCTTTCGATAAAATAATATCAATATGATTGAAAACGAAATTGCATACATAAAGTCAGCAGAAAACAGTACGCTAAGGATTTTTAAATCTCAAATTTGTTTTCCTGGCTAAATTTTTATGGCACAATGTTTCTGACGAAAAAAAATAGATGAAAAAATGAATCGAATTAAAAGATTACGAAAAATGGCAAGTTATTTTGCAATGAAATTAATGATCCAATCAAATTCTTGTTATTCAAATAGTTTTGTGGGAAATCACGTGAAGAAATTTGAGAAAAGTACAATAACAACAAATGAAAGCAAATTTTTGACATATACATTAGTCAAAGTAATTTTTTTTTGGTATATGATGATATTGAACTAAATACCGTAGTCGAACTTTTTTATTCATGCATTTGTCAAGACTTGAGCTCAAGATGTGTTCATACTGCATGAATGTCTTGTTCAAGACAAGCGCTTGAATGTTTGCATGAGTTACAAAAAAAAAGTGCAACTATAAATTTTTACTACAAGTTGAGTTATTTTGAATGTAAAATTGAAAACAAATTGAACAAGTTCTTTAATCACAGAAATGCTTAGACCACAATTCAAGCGCATGAGCAAGAATATCCAGCGATAGAGCAAGAACTTTAAGAACTTTAGCTCACCAAAAGGCCTCATGTATTGCCTCAAGATGTGTGCATAGTTTTTGACTGTCTTGACTAAGAAAGTCAAGAATTGCATGCGCTTACAAAAACAGTTCGACTAGGGTACCATAATAAAAAAAAGAATCACAAATTATCTTTTTTCTCAAGTCTCTGTCGTTACCTCAATACATATTTGCTCGTGAAGCATTTTTACCTTAATGAATAATTTCCATAGTGGTTGAAATCAACGTTAAAAATTTCGATAAAAAGTTTTCATACAAATTGTTTTTGTTTAATTTTCCATAATTTTAACATTACTTTTCATTTTATACTTATTCAACTTGTTAGAATGAAACAGTAGAGTATTATTGTAAAGATAGACTTTCATCGCTTTGAATTACTAAAATAAATCATTTTAAAACAGTATAATTACTATATGAATACGTTGTCCGTACGAACAAAACTAAAATTCTATTTGCCTATATGTGCCATTTCCATTAATATCGTCATCAAACAATCAATAACTCTTTTCTTAAATGTTTGATTCAAGGGTCGAAGTTGGGACATTGTGTTGTCATGAAAATCTCTCCAATACAATTCCTGTATCGTACTGACTTATAATATGTTCATTATTCTTCTTTCTAAAATACACACAAGCGATTATTTAAAAAAAGAATTATTATAACGAATCAGGAATATTTTATTTCTAGAAATTTGCAATCATAACTCGGCAAAATTATTTCATTCATTTCAGTGAGAAAATATCATGTTTTTGATTTTCTTAATCGTGTTTCCAAATCGTTTCGTAAAATCCTATGGCTTCAAAATTATAAACTGATGCAAATAGATGGTCTGATGTAAACTGTATACTTACGATATCTATTGATAAAAGGAGGTTCGACACAGTATTATAACTGGTTAAACGGCTATTTCATCGTTTTTATTATTCTTCCTCTTTCTCTGTGTCGTATCTCATTGCCTACTAAATTTGTGCTAGTCTTGCGCAAGACCATGAAGAGCAAATTCGTTTGACAGATTCTTTCTTTCTTGATGCTTCCTCCATAATCAAGATTGTTCTAGACTCTTTCGTTAATTGACTATAAAAGTGTTAATATTTCTTTCGATTTTTTTAGATCATCATCAAATTCATCATATTAATAATGGCTGACAATTCGAAACAAGGTTTCCTCAATAGTCTTTTTCAATGGACAGTTAAGAACACTGCAGCTGAACCCACAACGACTAGTGATCTTAAACCTATGGATGAACCAGTAAGTACTTGTACCATCAAACATCTATGCATGAAATACGTCTGTTGATTATTTTCTAGAGTAAAAGTTGGCTCAATAATGCTTTAGAAAATTTAACAGTTAATCCGGTCGAAAGACTTAAACTATGCATCAGTAAAATCAAAGATAATCAAACAAGTGAACAACAAAAAAAGGAATTTCTCGACGAACTTTGTCATTGGGCAGAAGAACTTGATTTAGCAAAAGATTTCTTTACTATTGGTGGTCTTGATATTCTAGCACCTCTGTTAGACAGTAACGATGACGATATTTGCATACAAACATGTTCTTTAATTGCTAATCTTGTTCAAAATCATGAGCATTGCCAAAGAATTATTGTTCAATCGGGCCTGCAACAAAAACTATTGAGCATCGTCAGAGATTCAAATAACCCAGATTTAAAAACAAAAGCTGTTACAGCTATATCAGGTATGTCAATTTGTAGAATTTGAGCGTTTTTTTTTATTCTTTCAATTTGATTTTAAACACTAACAGAAGATATAAACAGTTTCGTTCTTTTTTTTTCTCTTTTAGCATTGATTCGTGGTTATACACTTGGTCAACTTCAATTACAAAAATACCACGGTGCAAAAGTGTTAATTCAAGCAATACCATCATCTATTCCTCGACTACAAAACAAATTATGTTTTCTCATCAATACCCTTTGTTCATCAAGTGCACACATGAAAAGTAATATTTGTTTATCAATGTTCTTTTGTTTTTGTGAAAGATGATCGATAAGGAATTCTAAAGTATACAGGGTCTAAATATTTCCATGTTTTTCTTTTCTTAGTGGGCAATCAAGAATAATTTTGATAGAATATCACGTACTTATTCAAAACACTAAAGTTGGAATCGATTGATATCGTGATCGAAGTTACTGTTCTACTATCAAGACTTGATATCAATAATAGCTCAATATAACATAGAAGCTACTAATTGAATTTCAGGAGGTTAAAATGAATAGACTGTAAAACGATTTGTTTCAATATTGGTAAAAAAAAAGACATTCTAATAGTTAACAAGAGTAGTTCTATCATATTTTTACTCCACAACGACTGCACTAACTAATATCTTTATTTTGTTCTTGTAGAAATATTTTATGAAAACGATGCATTAACAGAATTCGTACGCTTATTTAACAGCGAATCATGTCCTGATCATCAACATACACTTGAAACTATTCTAACATTATCAAGTGCAAAACCAAATGCAATGTCTTCTCTTGTTGAAAGCGATCCATTATTAGTTGAAGCATTCCTAGAAAAATTAACTGAGCGTCGTCAAATTATTCAAGATTCAGAGGATCATCTAGTAAGTTTTTATTTAGAAAATAATAATGACATGATTATTAATTTCATTTACTTTTCTTCTAGGATGAGATTAATATAATTAATCAAATACGAACGTTACTGACCCCAACTTCTACTGAAGATAAGCTCGTACCAGAAATGAAAACAACACAACATATTGTTCCAATATCTTGATAACAACTTATTTTATGATTCTATTGATTTGTTTTTGGTTTTTAAAGAAAAATGGAAATCGTTAAACAGAAAAATCTCTATTTGTTAAAAGTATATAAAAAGATCATAGAACAAACACAGTGTGTATGTTTGCTCAAATATATTTCATTTGAAGTATTACGATTTGTCTATAATTCCAAAAATGATTTTTCGTTGCTCAGAAGGCAAAATCTGCAGATATCTATTTCTCAAAACTTTAAAAAACTTCGATTTCTTAATGTTTTCATTTTATGTTCTGTGCAATTAATGTATGCGATACATCAATTCATAGTAGTATTGCATTGTTAAATAAGTAGAAGTGAAGAGTTAATAATTATATTTATAGACCTAGGTGTCACATTCTTGATAAAAATAAGAAATTCACAGACTGTTTTTATTATTATTCTACAAATCAAACAAAAATAGTATTGATCGGAGCTATTTAAATAAAATACTAATGTCAAAGTGTGTTGAACTAGAACGTTTCATAACTATCACATGTTGTCAGCGATCAAAACAAGTGAACGTCGCAAATGTTATTTGGATTGTCTATTCAATTTAGCGACAAAGGACAATGCAAATGATCTATGTTTGTTTAAATAGCGTAGACATACTAATACGTCTCATCATATCAAAAGTATTGATAGAGATGTGCGAACGCAATCTACGATAAGGCAGTCCAAGAGAGTCCTTTCATTCGGTTATGGACATGTCTACAAATTTTTTTAACTTGAGAATTTGATATGCCAAGATACATTGAAAATGAACAATGATTACTTTTCGATTACGCGTAGGAATTGATCGTGAAATTCATCATAGGTATAGTTTGATGGCTACGTTTTTATTTTATGTGAAAAGAAGAAAATGAATAAATATTTTTTACTGAATATAAAATTTAGGTCAGTTTTTTTTCTCTAGACGAGACCACCCAGAAAATAGTTACAAACGCCTACGTTGGAGTTAAAATTCAGTGTAATCATAGAGCTCATTATAGAGCAAATGTACTGATCTGAAAATTAGATTTTCGTATTGATCAAATTATATTTATTACTTTTCTAATCTTCGCTTTTGTTTGTTTTTTTTTGAACAGGTTTTTCATTATAAAACAAAGATTCATTAATGATTGAGACCTATTCTTCTAACTAGTGGGGTTCTTTATGTCAGATATATAATTTAATGAAATACAAGTGCACTCAAAACAAAAATATTTCACTATACTGAGTATTATATCTTATCTATTATTTTACATGGAAACATTTGGCAGATTCTATCTTGATAATGTTTATTTTTAGTTATAAAATGAAAATATCAGAAATATTGAATCATGATTAGTTTTCATTTTTCAAACAATCCTACTATTCGATTAACACATATTCAATATCAGTCATCTAGGTCTGAATCTCCAGAAATTGTTATTATTAGTTCTTTATATGTAATATTTTATCTATTGAAAATAATTACGTCAATCTATAATTTGTTACGTATGTCAAAGAGAAAGCTTTTTTTATCACTAAAGATAGAAATCAGTATGATAGAGAAATAAATAATCAAATCATGATAAAAGCATATTTTATTTTGTAATATTCTCTAAAGCATGTAATCGTCTCGCAGAATACAAATAATCGATAGAAAACTTGAATGATAGACTTTGTATCTTTTATGGCATGCTATTTATGATTACACGGATTCCTTAAATTACTAACACTCGCTTATCTATCCTTGCGGTTTTTTATGCTTCTCATTTTCTTGTAGAGAAAAGGAACTTATATAATATACATATATCTATATACGTACACATAACTCTCTTTTCAACATCACCAACCATTTATTATTCTTCGATCTGATCTAATGTCGTTCTACTAGCACGTAAGACAATTTTAAAGAATGTTTATTTTGTCAAAAAAAAATATCATGTCTAATCATAAACACTATTGATTTTACTATAATCAGCCTATTTTTGTTGTTTTTAGAAGAGACCTTTTGGATTTACTTTCATAAATGAGAAGAAGTAGACTAATAAAACAAAAAAGAAATCAATTTATTTTGTTGAAAAGATCAACTTCTAAACAAATGATTTAGTGCTATTTAATAAAACTTCATTGTAACAGAAAGTGATTATTTATTACTTGATCGAGGAATCAGTTTCATTGTTATTCGACAAAACTAAATATCAAGTAAGATGATCATGATTACATCACGATAGTAACGTCTATATCCACGATAAGAGAAAAACGAAGCGATTAGTAATGGTGCAGGCTGTGAATACGACGTATATCTGTTTACTTTAGATTTATGACAAACGTCCATATAACAACTTTTATATATTATCTAGTCTAGTAGAAAAGAATAGAAAAATAAGCGAGAAGAGCGGTGAAAGATACGAATGTAGTATTGCTTCATAATTTTCTACTGCCTGTCAAACAAATGTCGTTGATCTAGTATTATAGCTATGAAGCAAATTTAAAGTAGGTTTTTTTGTTAAGAATAATATCAAATTAATAATTTTGTGAAGTATTAGAATGAAAAGAAGTAACAACGAATAGCTTATAAGTTATGCAACTAGCTTATTCAAAAATGAGATTTTATAGCAATGATCTATAACAATACTGATTTCATATAAATATTTATTGCTCTATGTGATCTCGAAAATAAAAGGTCACATTTGTAGATGCATTGAGTATTTATTCTAGAGATTCAAATAAAGCCAACACATCAACTAGTTATTATTAGTTGTCATTTTTTTCTCTTTTTCTAATTTCATCCGAGATAAGATTGTTAAGAGTTAATTTCTGATTTTGTCCTCATACATTTAATCATTGTTGATTGTTTATTCGCTCGAACTCGTTCTTTCTTTTTTTTTTTATTTTAGTTAGCCAAATAAACTAGTTATTAATATTTTATTTAATGTTTGCACGCCGTAATTTACGTCGTAATCTTACAATTACAATATCATTACCTTTCGTTTTATTAACCTTATTCGTCGTACATAAAAATCGCGATATTATATTTTCTGACAATACATCACACAAATATCATGAGCATGCATCTGATTTCTCACAAGATATCATCAATCCTATATATTATGTTCGATCAAAACGTTCGACAACTGGCAGTAAATTATCGACGATTCATATCGATGAACGAATACAGAATCAAAGTCCAATAATGGTTAATCCGTATACAATGCCACTTATAAATACTTTGGATAATCATAGGCAAATACCAAAATATCACTCAACTGAACAAATTCCCTATCCTGTTATTAGTACAAAAAATCTTGAACGCTTTGTTCATCTTGATTTAAAAGGTGCTGCACCGAAACTTGATTATTATCAAAAATTGTTTCCATTTTTAAGACAATTGGGTGCAACTGGTTTACTTATTGAATATGAAGATATGTTTCCTTTTGTTAATCATTTAGCTATAATAAAACATGGTCTTGCCTATTCAAAGCATGATATTCAACTCATATTACAATTAGCTGATATGAATGGTTTAAAGATAATGCCATTACTTCAAGTTTATGGTCATCTTGAATATGTACTTAAATTAAAAGAATTTATACATCTACGTGAAGACAAGCGATATCCACAAGTTATAACACCATGCCTTGAAGAAAGTTATAAATTAATATTTGGTATGTTCAATAAATATTTATTTATATATATATGAGCTTGTCAATTTATGATATACACATTAGTTTATTAGAAAAAGAGAAGCAAAATGCTTAACTAAAGACACGCCGACAAGAAGATTAAATACTATAATAAGATAGCGATTATATTGTTTGTCAAAAGATTTTATTCGATTTTGTAAATGGTGTTATAGAATCAGAAAGATGCAGATGTGAAGATTGTTGTAAAATTGAATAGGAATTCATCTCGATCAATTATAAAGAATCAAACAGTTATTTTCAGAAGCATTAAGCTATAGGAGTTTTTCTGGTTGGATTCAAATTTTATATGAAGTTCTGTTTCTTTAGAAATGATTGATCAAATGTTATCTCTTCATCCATTTATTTCATATTTTCATATGGGTTGTGATGAAGTTTATTATCGTCTTGTTCATCCTCAATGTGCTTATCTAAATTTTCATGATGATGCTGATCTTTTTATCAGGTATAGTTTTGTTTTATAAAGAATGTCAAAATCATCATTTTTATCAGAACGTGAATATCTCTTTGCATAGACGTAGCTGATCATGCATTGAAATCGAGCTAGCAGAACTCAAGCTAAATCAGTCATTTAAAATATTTTTTTCTTTCACAATTCATCTTCGTATTTCTTTTGTTTCCATTCGAATAAATTAACTCACTGCTCGACATAGGCTTTGGATATCTCTACTGTCCGCGTATCACATGTATATAGTAAAGCTATAGATTCGTTTCATTCGTGTAACTTTTATTGACTATCTTTAATGTGAAACTCACGATAAAAGAAATAGCCTAAAACTGCGAATATCAGAATAAAAACGTCGTCATGGTTTTTTAGAGAATCAAACTGACACTATCTATCTAATTGCCATTTAATAGATAGCTAACGATAGACACATCAAACGTTCTATTAACTAGTTTAACATTTCAAAAGCTTTAAACTTTATGTGATTATTTAAATTTATATTTTTTAATTTCTAGACATGTTACTCGTGTTGCTAAATATATTAAATCAAAACGTCCAGATATTAAATTATTTATATGGCATGATATGCTCTCACAATTAGCCAACTCAGGTTATAATAACGTGAGTTATGATTCTAATTTGATTGTGCCAAACTTAATAGTGATAGCACTGCAGTGTCTGATATAAGGCTTTAATGAATTTCTTTTACTTTGTTTCTCTCTATAAATATTCTGAAAGTTCAAAGAGTTCACTATTATATGTTAGCCTTTTTCAATTGGTATAATTGTATTGGACTTGCAATCAACTTTGTTCACTTTTGTTTGATCTAGATAAAGAAATACTTTTTTTGCTCTCGTTAATATTTGTACTAAATTGTAGGTCTAAACGAGAATTAATTATGCTGAACTAGATTTTGTTTTCCTGTTGTTTGGCTTTGCTTGTGAGATCAATTGTAACATGATATAAATAATTAATTCTAGAAGTCAAGATATAAATAACATTTTTATAAAGCTACAGAATACTACCTGTACTCTGAACTGTAGAGAAATTCTCTTCTGAGTAATCTATACAAGGCATTATAGTGCTATCATGATTACTGTTTGTATATCTAAAGTATGTATATTCAATACACATCAATACGTTCGTTTTATTTGATAGATTACGGAATTAAATGAACTTATTATACCTATGGTATGGGCCTATGTTGATGATGTTAAACCTTGGTTTGATGATGGATTCTGGATGAGGTAAGACTATTATATATATATATATATATATGATTCTACCTCATAAGATGTAGTAATCGAGAAGTTATTTTCAACTAAACTTTTCTCTTTATATAGATTTTCAGTCTTTCGTGAAGTCTGGGTAGCTAGTTCATTTAAAGGTTCATCAGGTGAAATAACAACAATGAGTTATATTGGTCATCACCAACGGAATCAACAAACATGGCTTGAAACAATGTACATTGCATCAAGTCGGCATAGAGTTAATTTCTCGGGTATTGCCATAACCGGTTGGTCTCGATATGATCATATGCTTTCTTTGTGCGAACTTCTACCATCATCCATACCATCTCTTGCATATGTGTTACAAACAATTGTTTTTGGACATATAAACGACGATAAAAATGTAACTATTTCGACGACATTATTAGGATGTAATCAAATACCATTATGGGAAAAACCGATGTTTACTACTTTTGTATCTTGTTCATTTCCAGGTAAAATGCATTGTTTATTTAAAAATTAAATTCTATATAGAAACAACAGTCGACTTTTATATTCTAAATCTTAATAATGCTTTTTACTGATGTCTCTTTACTGTTTAGGTCATGAATTATATGAAATGATGCATCAATATGATTCTATACTTCGTCTATATGATGAAACAATGTCATTTGTACGTTCATTTGTAACAGATATTCATATTCGTCAAAATTATATCCATTATAAACGTAGTCAAGAATGTTTACAACGATTAATCTATTTAGAAGATCAAATGATTTATTTTATAAATGCTTTTCAGCGTGTTTCTTTTAATTTTTTTACAGTTGACATTGGGTCAGAGTGGTTACAAACATATTTTATGAGAAAATTCAAAGAAGTTCAATATCGTACGAATTTTATTGAACGTAAATTAAAAACACAATTATCATGGTCACAACGTCCACTACCTAACAATACTGCATTCATTGTTGTTAAACGACGAAATTTTACAGCTGTTAATTTTTCACCATTACTTAAATAAATTTTTTTTGTGTATAAGAAAACGAAGAATTATATATTCTAGTCACTTTTTGTGAAATAGAATTTAAATTGTACGTGAACCATAAATTAGTATGGTTCTTTAGTTTAATTAAGAATTTATAAGACTATAAGAAATAAAAAAAGGTCTTGTAGACTTTCCCGTTTTCATGCTCTAGCATATAGAATGTATTTGTTTTTAATTTTGCAAAGTTCAATAACAACACCAAATGTGAGCACCGCTTGATCGTCAATATGAACGCAGAAGCGTTGAATAGTTTGAAACGATCTTTAGAAAAAAAATAATAGAATAGATAAGATATCAGTTTTCTAATGAATGCTCGAAAGACCGTACTTTCAACTCGTCTTGAAATCGAATCGAAACCATTATTGGAAACTATTTCCGAGGTTCTCGTAATTCTACGTCTACCTCAACACTATTAGCACGACTGATGCTGATCTATGGATAGATCTGATCTGAAGCCGATAATCGATTGGTGCATCACCTGATTAGTCATAGTGACGTCTTATTTTAATAAATATCGCTGATAAGAATTCTGTGAAGAAATCCTATTTGTTGGCTGGTGTTCCTTTATAATTACAAGACTTCGGCAATTTACGGTAGCGTTGTTGCTCTATTTGTATAATTAATTTCATTATCTATTACATGACACATGGCTAACTATTCAGACGATTCACCTGGTTTCGATTATTGCTGCCTCTGGACATTTATGAATGAAGAAGATCATTAGATGAAGCGCCATAGTATGGTGCTGATGAACGTAAGATTCATTAAATACTTTTTTCTAAAAAGAAAGGAATCTAGACAATCGATAGAATAACAAAAATAAGTACATGACACAGTCCATTCAAGCTATCACAAATACATTATTTTATTTATAACCCTGCGACCCTTTAAAATAAATAAGTACCTGAGTTATTAATCCTAAAAGGAACAATAAAGCTCCACTAAAAACCCATTGATCTGTAGAATCTGATTCCATTGCATAAGTTCGTATCAAGTCGAATATGACTGAAAACAAAACAGATATAAAGATACCCAGGTCGAGCATTACGATGACCAAATATAATAGTATACGGCCAAGAACGTTAACATATACCGTCGTTTCATATCAATTGGGCCCGTTAATAGCAGCAAGTTGGCGTTTTGGTATGCACTGTATTACTGCTGCATTTTATCACGTGGTAAACAGTTAAGCATGGTAATAAATCGGTCAAAAAACTGAGTATCCAACCGTGCTTCTTTGATCTGGATAGTGAAAAGTCATATTTCAAACAAATATAAGCCTATACTTTAAGCATGTACACTAATTCTAATTATAAATTTGCTTCAGTATCATCAACTACCCAGATCTAGACGGTGATGATACGGCGGAAAACATGGGAAACCACTGAATAGTGGAAGGTGGAAGCAGTATTCCGGATGGAGTTTTTTGGATTGTTTTCCGGTGGATCTCAGCGACTCCCTATGTTTTCCTGTGAGATACGGTGAGTTTTCCTCATCTTTTTAGCAGGTTCCTACAGTATTCGGTAGCTAGAACCATCGATCTGGGTAATGATTCTGCAGTGTTTAGTTCACGAATTATAGGAAATGATGTATAGATATGATTCAACTACGATAATAAATTTAAGAAAGAATGAACTAGAGATTCTAATTAGATGAATTATAATACCGATAGAATTAATATATAAACATTTGTTGTTTTTTAATTATTCAGCACTAATTATATATTCTATCAGTAGATTAGTCATCAAATATAGTACATCTATTTTTTGTGTATTTATTACACGTTGAAAAAAATATATATATGTACATGTTTAAATAAAATATGATTCTTTTCATTTTTCTTTTGTTCATGTCTTAGCCGTCATGTAAGAATCTACTGAAAGTATAACTGCTGATAAAACAATCAAAGTAGCTCCAATATAAAACATAAAAGGTCTTGTCAATTGTAAAAATATATATTGTAATATGCACGCATGAACTATATCAAGTGTGCCAAGTATTGATAATAGCTGTACACTTTCTCGTTTTAATGCTTTAGCATAGAATGTATTTGTTACTAAATGAAAAAGTCCAATAACAACACCAAATGTAAACATCCATTTCCATGGATATGGCTCTGGTTGCCAAAATCGTCGAGTAATACTATAAATCAATGCAATAATCAAAGCAAATGCTGTAAAATGAAAATTCATAACAGAATATGGTTGTTTTGTTTTAACTAATTGTTTTCGTGCAATCATTTGTGTAGCCTTCGTTAATGAGGATATAAAAGCTAAAGTAATTCCTAGATAATAGTAGGTTGAGATTGTAACTGTAGAAGAGATCATTGTAGTTGAAGAATTTAATATTGTTGAATTTAGTATTGATTGATTAAGTAGATGATTGAAAATTTTCAATAAAGCTTGAGGTTTCGTAGCGAGCATCAATCCAGTGATCGTCAATATCAATGCAAAAGCATTAATTAGTTTAATGCGATCTTTAAAAACTATAATTGATAAGATTGCTGCCCAAACAATATATGTATATTTAATAGCATTTAAATCTGACAATGGAAGAAAATAAAATGCTACTAAATATGTTAAATTGGTGCCACTCGACATCAATATATTCATTGCACAAGCAAGAGGTTGTCCATTCGTATCGAATAAATTATACTTTTTATAAAAAGTAGCATACAAACCAAATAAAACTGATTGTATTGAAAATCGCATGATCATTATATCAAACATATCAGCTGGAATCAATTTTAATGCGAACGTACAACAAGCAAATATGAAATTTCCTGTTAACATATACCAAACTCCCGAATGTTCACGTATTCCATGCCATATAGTTATAAAAATAGATGACGACGATTTTTCATTTGCTGCCGGTACAACATCAGTTAGTATTATTTGAAGAGGAATTTGTTCGTGTTTTTCAGCCTATGTTAATCAATGTAGTTATATATATTCTAGGCATTATAAAACGAAGAGAGATAAACTTACCATAATTTCAATGATGAATGAATGAGTGAATGAATGAATTACCTCACTTTTTCTCAATGTTTACACTAGACTAAAAGTAAAAGGAAAAAAAAACGAAATGTATTCAACACACACTGTTTTTTGCCTCTATAGAAAGAAACAAAACAAACTACTCCGTTTGTACTGTAGCACGAGGAGAGAAAGAAAAGAACCAAATATATTGTCATCTATAGAATATATTGTTTGTTGACGGCCGTACGTTCTCATGGAACATTTATTATACTTGCAAGAAAAGATTCCGAGTGCTTTACGCATTACTGCTTCACTATTTATTTCAAAAAATATGTTTCTTGACGATTTCATCATTCGACGATACTCGATTTATTTTCATTTTAGCAAATGTTTGTGAAATCGTACTTTAGAAGATAAATAAGTATGATAAATGTGGCAGACATCCAACGCAGGTTGATCAAAACGGACTCGTTTACGGTTTGTTTATCGACGGTAAACGATGTCAAAACGGTATATTTACGGCAGTAAATAGGCTGTATTTGCCCGTAATACCTGGTACAGTAATACGGCACCGTAAACAGGACTGAATTTTCATGGTTTACGGCTGCTTGTGCTCCGTACTCTCATGACCATACGGTTCGTATTACTGCGCCAGATATTAAGGCAAACTTTCGCCCGGAAAATAGTCGTAAAGTAACCGTAAACGGCTGTATACGGGCCGTACTGTTTGACCTGGGTAACCTAAAAGACTAACCGCTGATTTGTAGACAACAATAGTTTGAATTAAAAGATGCGAGTATCAATTGAGCAAGTGCATTTTAATGATTGAATTTATTTATGTACTAGAGATAATATGATATTTGCCTACGTTGGATTTGGTTATGATTTTTGTCTTCAATATATTCACGAACTTATGCATGACTTGAAAATTCTATTTTCCTTATGAAGACCCTAAAACTTTAACCCAGAAAATGGTTTACATAGAAAATAGTAGTGGAAAATCTCCTATATATTTTCTACATCTAGTGATAGACGCCTTGTCGAGTTCTATTGGTTTTATTGCGAACTTTGGAACTTCCAATAGAGAATGGTAACTTATAATGGTGTTCTATTTTTTCCAATTGCTGTGAAAGTAGTGCCCTCTGTTAGATCTCGATAGTACATAAATTAATAGATGCAAAAAAAAACGGCTCTGACAATCATCATGATATGCAGGGATCCCGATTAGGGGGGGGGGCTGTGGGGGGGCNAAAGTCTTGATTACAGTACGTTTGTGTACCGTCAATTACGATGTTTCTTTTCTAGTACAAGTGTTGATTTATGCACTCCGTTGTTAAATGAACATTCTCGTTCGGCAGTTATTCGTTTCTGTTTGTGACTCCGCTGTTTCATTTTCTATTTGTGCCAGAAAATCTGTAATTTCTACCTTTCACTTCTGTCGAAAAATCTAGCCATTCTATTTATTTCTGTCAGAAAGTCCACTCACTCTATTTGTTATTTTATTTCTGCGAGGAAGTCTATTCAGTCTATTTGTAATTTCTGACAGAAAGTCTATTCAGTATAGTTTTTACTTCTGGCAGAAAGTCTAGCCTTGCTATTTGCTATTTCTGCCAGAAACTTCACCGCTGTTGATGGGCGTTCTGAATCTGTCTATTTGATACGCAGTCCCATGTCGTCGAAGCTGTAGATATCTGATATATTCACTATAATCACTTAGTTTCCGAATGTTGAATTTTATTAAAGGTGGCGCCATAAAATTAGTTGTTCGCTAATGAATAACCAACAGGAAAATTAATCATATGCTATATTAGTTAGAGAATGCACTATGGAATACTTATTCAATTTTTTTTTGAACTGCAATGACTATGTATATACTAAACAGATTGAGTTAGAAAAAAAACATGAAAAAAAATGATAAACGTAGAGAAACCGCATCGAAGTGGTGATAACCGTTGGCTTTGACGAAAACTGAGTAGCATGGGGTGATATTTATATGTGAAATCATTTCAGATTTTTTTAAATATGATTTCAAAAATAGTTCATGCAACTAGTTGTACAGTAAAGTGTCCTATTTGTGGAAAATCAATGCTTCTAAAAAACTGGAAAGATCATTGTCGACAATTTCATGCCATGTCACAAACAGCGATTGATTGCAAATATTATGAGTTGAAAAGAAATATAAAGCAGTCAAATTTAAGTACAGTAACATTAGATACAACAACAAATAGTGAAAACCCAAATTCAATGCCAATAAATACATTATTTTCCATGAAAAAGTTTGTATTAGTAAAATCTACGATTACCAATGAGAACACACAAGCAGCTAATGTTGATAATCAGGTTAATCAATCTCAATTGATGGAAATTGATTCTCAAAATACGCATCTTGATACACCAATAAATTATATTGAACTTGAACCTTTACCAATTATATCTGATTCTTATTTAAGCTTAAATGAAAATGGTATGATATTCTATAATTTTTCTCCAGTAAACAAAGATTAAAGAAATAAAACTTTTTTCAATCTAGATATTCCTTGTTCAAATCATGAATCATGCAATCTAATCGTATCAACACCTTCAAGTAGTAAAATTTTGCTTCAGATTAATGAAATTATTAGAAATGGAAATGGTATGAAAAACCTATTGATCAGTAGAATTATGGAATCACGCCTTTCTCTTTTTTTAGATGAAATATCGAACAATTCAAACCGAGTACAACTTAATGATATTCAGCTTCATTATGAAACAATTGCAGAAGATAAAGAAAGCGAAGGCAAAGAAACAGATAATAATTTAATTTCAATACCAGCATCAACAAAAAATATTGGACGACTTACTTCAAGCCGTTCATTAATTATGTCAAAACATATTGAAGGTGTGAAGTTTATTACTAGTAATGAAGTGACGTTTATTGATACGCAACGGAAAAACCATCCTTCTATAAATTGGCATACTGACGATAAACAAAAACAAGTTAAACCAAGTCGAGCATGGTTTTCGAAGAATTTTCAATGGCTCCGAGCCGTATGCACCGATAATAGATACGGATTAATATGTGTTGATTGTGATGAATATGCAAGAGATAAAACTTTAATTGAAAGAAATAAAGGAGCTTTTGTAGTGAGACCTTATTGGAAACTGAAGCACAAGGGATTGGATGGTAGAGATTTATTTTTATAAAGGAATGATATTTTACTTGAAGGTTTTGCAGGTATAAAAAATCATCAAAATAGTGATTTACATCGGGCAAGTCGTGAAAAACGAATTGCCACTAAAATCGTGGCAAACATTGGTAATATAATTGGCCAACTAAATTGTGTAAATTTAGAAAATCAAACAAAAAAGTATTTGAGTATTTTACTTTAAGTTTTATGGTTTATTATCAAAGAAGAAATGACTCTTACGAAGTTTAAACCTTTTATTGAATTATTAAAGAAAGTCGAATGTCCAGGTATCATTGAATGGTTGAAGTTATCCAATATTAAACAAAGGCAAGACTTATTAATAATAAAATGATGCATTCTTATCCTTAGTTTCTGTTTTTGTTGCTAGATACTGGAGTCATGAGGCGACATCTGAATGACTTATAAGTATCAACAATTATACTAATCATCAACAAATATCTTCACTTAAACGAACAGAATTTATTAGGGTGCGGGTGTGTGGGTGTGGCTGAGGGTGGGGTGTCGGTGTGGGAGTTATTGAAGATAAGAATGGAACCCACACCCACACCCACACCCTTGTATGGTACTCTCATTATGATTGGTATCATTATTGCTGTGGGTATCGTTCTCCTGTATTACATTCGAACGAAGAAATCGGTAGGCACCAATGTCAATATTACGATGCCCTCCATGAGAACACTATCAACTTTACAAGACCAAAGTTAATGAATATCTGCTAAAAAATTTTAACTTGGTTTGTCATATATGCTTATGTCTTATCAGTAGTATAACATTTTTGTTTTAATTCTTTTTTCTTTTTCACACAACGTGTAACTTGAATATTTAATACCCATTGTGTGTGTGTAAGGGTGTGCATGATAGTTTACGAAAGCGAAACATATAGACGCTCAGGAGCGCGTCTCATTTGAGTGTGAGGGTGTGCCAATAATCTATATTCTCAGATATTCAGAAAATCATGTGTACCTTTTTATGAATGATGCACCCCTCTTGATTCAGATATCTACGTTTCCCCATTATGGAATTTCTTTTTATTCTCTATACGGATAATTAGTGTAGTCGACAAGAACGATTAGATATTACGACGTTCGTAAAAGCATTAGTGCAATGTTAGGTCATAATAAGAAAGAATATCCTTTTGATATTATCTGCACGTCATCAGGTCAAGTATGATAAATATAGGATCAAGAGTTTATGTCAATCAATGAAATAATCGAAATGGCCTAAGTTATTCTGTATTTGGTTTATAATTTCCTTTTATGGTAATGAATAGAAATATAGAAGAAAATAGAGAAAGAGAGAAGAGCGAGAGTATAAAAGAACGGGGATATAGTAGAATAGAAGAGGAGTGTTTGAAGTAGAGCAAGATAGATAATTTCTGGGGTAGTATTGAGAAGGAGTAATATAGATAGTTTAAGGAAAAGAGTTACTCAGCTAGAAATATTAAGTAGAAGTTACAATTTAGAATCGTGAAACGGTTATCGTTCAACATTTATTATTATTGTGCACATTGTAATTATTTATCAATTTTATGTCAACTTGTTATTATCTGTGTGTGCTCATATTGTTATTAAAATAAATATCATCAAAACCCGTAACGTTATATTTTGATTTACCAATTCACCCAGAACCAAAGAATAATAATCCACAAAATATTTCGTTACAATATATTTTGGATCAAATTTTTTTTCTCAACGATCCAATAGTAATTTCTGACTTATATAGGCAACTTCAGCTACAGCCATGCACTAGAAGTTGATAAATTTCTTTTCTTGATTTCGCTATTCTTACTTTATCGAACATGCCAAAAATAGAAACTAAATTATCTAATAGATGGTATTAGCATCGTTGAATTTGATTTTGGAGAGAAACAAAGCGAAGTAAATTAATTACCAACTGCAACGTCATCTCGAAAAATAAGAGAAAGAAATTTTTCCGTAAAGAGTGGGTATCCATTGATAAATATTCATCTTTATGGTGACGAAACTTTCAAAATGAAGTACTAGTCAATAAAATAAAAGTAATGGAATACTTAGGGCCATCATCTTAATACAGAAGTCGCTATTTCATAAAAAATATGATCTTTCTGATAAACTTCTGATTTTCCTAGAAAAATTTCTGATCGTTTTCTGATTTTCATAAAAAAATTCTGATTTTTGAGTTTTCTATCTGGCCACCCTGCTAACTAAGTTTATGAAGCAAACCTCTTTCACTTCTGAAATAATTTTATCCAAGTTCTCTCTGATGCCGAATCAAAAATAAAAACAAGAAAATTTCTCCAAATAAAACGCGATTAATTTTAATGTCGTCCTACGCAAAAATGAAAAAGTGTCTAAAAGCGTATTATTGACACTGTTTCATCCATAAAAATTTCTCTAGAGCTAAAAGAAATGTCATATTCTGAAAGGTCTTGACCAGTACTGTAAGTGTAGCCAGAAAATCAATTAAAAGAAAATCGCATAAGAATTAAAAAAAATAGTTTTTTTTCCTGATAGATCGCATTAGAAGCTAGGGATTTAACACTAATGCTATGATTTCTCGGAAACTAAAACACTTGGGAACTTGATTTTTTCAGAAGTGAATGATCAACGTGAGACCCGTAAAATTTAAAAAAAACTATAAAAATTGATTGGATAAAGCTCGACTTATATGCATTTTTCCTTTCGGAACACAACAGTACAATGGCTATGCTTTTCACTCATATATAGATGATGTATTGTATTAAGTATGGATATTTTTCAAATAGATAACTCCAAGATACTTCATGCAAAAATTCTGAAACTTTGTAGATAACCTAGTGCATTAGAGATATCATGGCGGGTAAAGTTTCAGGGGAAAGCTCGAGATTTTGATTTCACGCGGCGAATGGGACTATAAAAGGCTATTATTGAAGAGCCGATATCTCAAGCAAATCGCAGGATGTTTAAGAATTATGATGAGTTTATCCTACTCTATGCATTCTCTATGCGTAGACAAAATTTCAGCTCAAAAACATTTAAGTATTTGAGACGGCATCCACATCAGTACATCATCACTCTCTGTATTAAATAGGTTGGACGCGTTTTGACATCAAAGTTGCTGAAAATGAAAACGAATTTGAAAGCAAATGGGGCCACTGGTATGTGGCATATCATGGGACAAAATCAAACTTTGCTGATTTAATTTTGAGTTCCGGTCTAACGACAGGTCCAGGATGTTGGGCTGCAGAAGAAAAGGTTGTCTATGTCAGCCCCAGCATTGAATATTGTGCACATCCACGATATGCTGAACCTTGGAATAATCCAAATAATGGAAAATATCATCAGCTTGTCTTTCAATGTCGTGTTAATCCTAAGTGTCTAAATGTTGATAATACCCGTCCGGAAACTTTATTAAGAAATAAGAATGTTCAAATCGACAAAAAATTTTCTAACAAGCAATTGGAATGGGTTATTCGACCGCCATCACAGCATATCCAATACATAACCGATGACATCATCTGCTACGGTCTCATGCTGCGAACAACTGATGGTCATCCTGAGCAGTTACCATCGTCTCATAGGTGGAAATCCTGAGGGTGACCATAGAGGTCTCTCGATGGCCACTAACTTTAGTTATTGTTCTTAATTTCTTCTCTATGGTTATTTTTCCGCTATTCTGGCCCATCTAGTGATTAACAATTGTATATTTAGTTCACATAATCTTTCTGTTTTTCCTTTTTTCCCTCGCTCTTCTTTTTTGTTCTGAATCTTTTTTCTTCATCAAGTGGTTTTCTCACGTTTGATTATTTTCTTTATCATTATCATTACCTACTTCAATATTAGCTTTTACTTTCTTTTTCATTATCGTACATTATATTCATCTCTTCATTAATTAATTCCACATATAATAACTCCCTGATAAGAATGTTTCATCTTTATTACATGCGACATACTCGCTCTCGTTGCAGACAGGGTTCGTAATAATTTGTCCTCTAACCTACACAAGATGACACAAATGAATTACATAGTAATTCACAAGAAATCGATTCCATAATAGTTCTACACTATATAATTTCTATAATAAGTTATAAAAGCATCCATAGGGTCTGATTCACTGTAGATACTACGAAGTACATACAGATCATGTCTCTTTTAAGAGAGCTTTCGCGACAGCGCCAAGGAATCGAAGCACTCGATAAAATTCATTTTGGCGTTTTTTTATGCGCATTCGAAGGATCAAGGTTTAAAACTACTAACCTCAAAATTTCAGCAGTTGATACCTTTCCTTCGCAAAGTTAGTAAGACACGACTTTTAGCACCCTCACAATTTTTTAATGTAAAAAATAGCAAAAATTACTCGATCAAACAACCCCACCTCATGCCCCAGCAGATTACCCAAATCTCCAGAGGAGTATTGTGAAAGACAGACTGACTACAGCTAGGTGAATAATACTAAATATTTACAATATTGGATAGCATTCTTTTCTTTAGGCTAAAAGCACCAACAAGTATGACAAGTGGCATCATTTTTTATTTTTTTTAGTCAATTTTTGGCAGTATATTTGATCCAATCTCACCAAATAAGGCGACCCCAAGCTGAATTTTGGATGTGCTTTGTAACTTTTAATTCTACACAAAACTGTAAAGAAAGTTATGAAAAGAAAGGTAATTACGTTTGACTCTCAAGTACCTAACATTGTCGATATGGTAGTGAAAATCATGAAAATAAACCGCATTTAGCCAATACTAGACATCATGGAATCGGGAAAATTTTAACGTAGAAAAAATAAGACTACTATGCTGAACCATGAAGCGTAGCTAGTTCGGTCGAAAAAGCAAAAAATAGGGTGTGGATGTAGACAACAGAAAGAGGGACACCCACCCCACGTCGCACACTTTCTCGCACTACCGCCGCTATACCGATGGTTTTTTTATCGTTCGACCAAACGATAAAACTTCAATTGAAGATCAAGAAATTTTATTTTTAATAGATACTTCTTGCTTATTTTGTTCCTTAACTGCGACTGGAACCAGCTTACTCAGAATAAAATTTTATTTTGAAGATGTCTCTTTCACCAATTGTGATTGGACTCGAGTACTTATATGCTATAATCATCTTTCTTTATTTCTATTCTTTGGTTAGAGTTACTTGTTTGAATATAATTGAACTTCTATTTAGTCTTTTCATCAGAAATTTTGAAACGAACTTCAGAAATAATTTTTATTATGATATTATCATTTAGATGTTTTCACATCGCGGTTATTCACAAAAAGTTATCCGTCAGAGAATGAGACGTCAACAGCAGCAGCTAACAATATGCCATATACTCTCTCCAATTGAATCTCAATCCGATGATAGCTACCCAACCAAGGTCTTGACTACTGTCTTTTTAAAAGAAGATCTTGAAAATCTTCAACCTCATGAAATAACTATTGATGAATGATATCTTTTTGTTCAAGGTAAAACATGACTTTATTTTTCTTTCAATATAAAATTTTATTTTTACAGAAGCAGTAAGATCAAAATTTTAACTCGACGCAGCTCAAATGGATTTACAATGGCCCATATTTCACGAAGCTATTATGCAAAAGAGAAGAAACAATCGACGTGATAATCGTGATAGTGATAAACAACAATCAAAATAGTTAGAAAACAATGAGAAAATACTTTTTTTGTTGGTATTTGCTATTTACTAACTGTTTTATGTGTCGTCTAAGTGAACATTTTTATTCATCGACGCTCCTTTCTTTTGTTGTTTTTGATTAGTGGCATTGAACTGTAGACTTTTTTATGTTGATGAAATAAATTTTGATATGCATCATTGGATTCCAGAACATATAATGAGAGAGCGACGAAGAAATAGCAAAGCTAGTTGAGAGTAGATTCGAATTTCGATTTACAGATAGACTAATAGAGTACCGCCGGTTGATTGTCGGTATAACGCCGGCTTTTTTACCACTACCGGAAAAAGCCGCCTTCACATCGCCGGTATAACGCACATTATAACAAACGGTCAACCAGCGGTTTACCGGCGGTTTTTTTCCGGTTTGAATCACGTGGGGCACCCACACCCCACACCCCGACTCTCAGAATCATTTCAATGAGTCCTTTGTCAACAAAAAAAATCCCCGATTATTTCCATTTTTTCATCTTGTCAATGTTGTTTGGTTGCACGATGTTTCATTCCGTTTTTGAGTAAAACAGTTCTCCGTTCTGCCTCACGCAGAACTGTTTCATCGCCCGCGTTGGAGAAACATATAAATCTAATTCACTTCATCTTCGACACACGAGGCTGTTCACACGCGTCTGCATAGTGTTTTTGTGGCCTTCATACTGCGTTTTATCCTACATCAATGACCAGTACACCCATGAAGAAAATCTTTGTTGGACCAACACCGGTCACATTAACAGAACAAGCTCTAATGGAATACTTCAGTCATTTTGGCACTATTGAAGCTGTTGAACTGGTAAACAGAGGATATATCTAAAGCAGAAAGAGTTAAGCATAAACCTATATGAGTAAACCCATCGAATACAAACGCAGCTCGTTGATTCTTAAAATCGTTTACATTTGTTTGCTTAGACTTCGAACAAGGTTAACTAATCAGCATCAAATACAAAATGAAGAGGTTCTAGCCTTATTACTAGGTGTTAGAAAACGGAAGAAAAATTTTCTAGATAATCCAAAAAATTAGATACCAAGTGTTAATCGAGTGGTCAGTTAAAACAGAATCTTCTGCTCTTTCCGAATATCACAAAAACAAGATGCTTTATTACATCTGTGGAGAAACAAGAGGCGAGAATCACAAAAATATTTTCAGAAAAAAATTGACAAACCTAGTCTTGACGAGAATCTCCTATAAAATCCTATAAAAACGGAGTTTTCAAGTAAGTGTGATACTGATTCTGAAAGAGGAGACTTTGGCTCATCTTTCCATGGTAAATTTTCCATTTCGGGTGTTTGAGAAAAAAAACCTTTTTCAATGGGACGTCAAAGATGAACTGGATATCAATCTGTCCGACGACATATAAAACATATCTAAATGACAGAGTGGAATTTGTGTTACGAAAGAGACGTAGCACCGCAACATGACATGTATTTTAATTCTGTAGGTAGATATGTCCTCTCTGCCGCCGACATTTCTTTTGCACATATTTCGTATTTTTTGGTAGGATTTTTGTGTCACTTCATAAACCTCCTGCGCTTACGTCATAAACTAACTTCTTACGATAAATTAGTGCTGCTGTTTTGAAGGCGAATGATTTGTCTACCAGACCTACTCAATGGTCTGGTATACATTGTATGCTTTGTATAAAAATGTGAGGTGAGAACATTTATTTCGGTGGTTTCATGCTATTCTAAAAGAAATGTTGCCACTTGTGCATTGCTATTCGGTTCAAATGATCTTTACTAAAGATCACGAGTAAGAACACACTTGAAAATATTAAAAAACGGAGACGAGCGCAACTAGACGCCTGCCCAATCAAAGAGAAAAAATAATTAATTATTTGAAAAAACGCTGCTACAAAATAAGTCATTTTGGTACGTTGCAGTCTTCAGTCCAAAAGTTTTCACTGTTACTTTTAACACTAAAACGCTTTATACAGTTTTGTGGAGAATTGAATGAGGAATCTTCTGGTGAAAATTCAAGTCTGAATAATGGAAATTGCCGAAGATATTGATAAAATACTGAGAGGCTCATTATTCCTGAGACACCCGTTACATACCACCATGTTATAACTCCTTTTGTTTGTGATTCTATACATATTTATAGGCGATGACATTGCTTTATACTCACTAAGAAAGAGATTCAATATAATATATGACACATATTTGAGTTCTGTAGGTGGATATGTCTCCTGTGGCGTCAATATCGTCAAGTCACCTTAGATCACCAATGAATACACACGTGTGCCTTCATTTCTACATTATCACATTTTCATCGACTGTGACACCAACTTCTTTCGAGGAATTGAGCAGTGAATGGCATTTAATTGGCAATAATTTAACACAAGTTCGTCAAGTCGAATCACGTCCGATCGCGCCAAGCCCTCGAAGTAGACTTATACAAAATGTTGCACAGAGCATTCCTCGAATTTCGATAATGAAAACTACTACGACTAGTACGAAAATATCCATCACCCCCGTATGGTTCGAGGAGAACAAAGCCACAGTTCCAATCCGCTATCCACCAACAATAACAGCTACCCTCGACGAGGAAGTACGCCGATCATTTGACATAGTAGCCAAATATCGAGCGGTGAGAGATGTAGAGCACAATAGACAAGTCGACTTTGTCGATCAACCATTTATACCAAGTGTTAACTCAACGGAGACACTAGTTGTTATACTTGACATGCTCGCGAAATCCATGGGAATGCAGACGAGCTTTGCCAGTAAGCCATTAGCACACGAAGAAAGTGCGTATTATGCTTCATGTGGCGTAGCCACTCTGGCCACTTTGCCTTTGTTAAATACCGATGGAGATGGACCTCTGAGCACGGCGATATTCAACCTAAATCTTGATGTGTCATACACAGCGGTTACATCAATTGAAAATACACTAAAAGAATTTGTGCTCTCCTTCACTAAAGATATCGTCACGGTACTTGAGTGTCGACCTGAGTGCGTGCGTGTATTTGAACTAGTGCATGGGTCATTAAAAGTACAGTTTGGGTTGACTGCATCGAATCGGAAAGATACTCAGAATTTAGCTCAGAAATTTCAAGATCAAGCCAAAAAGCATTTTCCCAGCAGCTTACATGTGCTCAGCATGGCCAAGCCGGGTAATTATCTTCCAGAATGGAAGTCTGTATTGGACCATCTTCGATTACACCCAGATGACTTTGACCCGACTCACAATCGAGACTATATCAATATACCTGCTCATGATTTCGTGCAGCAACGCGGGAATCGACCATATTATCGGCCCATTGGATGGTTCCGCCATGCGTTACGAGTTATCAACAAAGACAATAAAAATACGGTCTGGTTGGGCATGAACAATGGGCCTGATGAATGGTGCGTCGCCTATCATGGAACAAAATATCGCAACGTGAGACTAATTTTAGACGAGGGGTTGAGGGGCGCTATGTATAACGATGGTTGGAAGCAAGTAGCCACCAATGAGGTTGGCGAAAAAGCAAATGTCATGGGTACTTACCTTGGAACACATTGCAACAAAGGTTCGGATAACGATCGATACGCTGAGCGCTTCACTGTAAAAATGCAATCGGGGAGTGCTGTGACAGAAGAACACTATCGCGTCGTCTTCCAATGTCGTGTTAAGCCAAAGTCGTTTACCGAACACAAAGATCCACATCGAGAATCATTTGAAGACCCATTGTTCAAAGAATTACGTGTCTACGAAAGCGATGCTATTCGCCTTTATGGAATCCTGTTATACTCTCACCACTATCTCCGTATGTCTTTAATGCATCTGCCTATATGCTGTGATCTCTGTTAAAGTAACTATAGATGTTTGGGTTCATTGAGGGAAACAGCAGGAACTTACTTTTGGAATCGCTCGCCCGGTTGGAGTAGAAATGCCACATTAATCTTACTTTGCCTGTAAATAGTAAGCATTTTCAACGAATACTGACTATGGAGCCGTAAGTCAAGATACTTATCGCATACCAGTTTGTGGTAGGCCTTCTTCTTTGGAAAATGCTTAGTATTACTTGGTAATAGTAAGTCTAGGTGAGAAGTATGACACTCCCCTCCTAGCTTGGAGCAATAGCTCTTAAAATTTGCGTATATCTTGTGATGCCGTATGAGGTCTTTCGAGGTTTAAAGAACTCTTCTGAAGTTCTGTAAAGTCTTTGATATCTGTTTGTGTCATATAAGTCTCACAATGTTCCGTGAACGCTGTTGAAGTTTCACGAAGACTGATACAATATTTTAGAGTCTTCTGAATTAGTTGGAGATAATTTGAAGTCTTAAAAGAAATTCAAATCTCGTAGTCTGAGCTCTCTTGATGTCTTTTGAAATATTGTGCTCCACCGTTTGCCCCTCTCACTATATCTCTAAAACTCTAAAATAGAACAGAATAGCAAAGAGGGAGAGCACGATTTCAGTAGTTCACCTACCTCCCCCCTCACATTAAAAGACACTGAGCCTTCTAATATGTTTGAGCATGTAAACTGTCTAGGGTGGTCTTTTCCTAAAAACGGGCTTTCTAATGCGATTTTCATGAAAAATTTTTCAAAAGTTTTGAAAAAAATCTTATTACATTTTGTATTGCTATTTTCCCAAAAATTCCTTTTTTAAACGAGTGCTTATGAGATTATATAATCATGAATCATCATGTGCTTATGTGATCTTTCTCTTGTGGGTTTATGAAACACGACATAAAAGATCTGTTGGAGTATATAAGGAAGAAATTTGAATCCACTGCTCCTGCAGTCCCCACAAACATCATGACAGATACCCTAAAACATCATCGGAAACCGCGTTAGATACAGACCATTTCCCCCTATCCGCTACAAACTGCGGTAGACCTTGTGAATTACGACCAAAGACCCAATAATACTAGCTTTCTATCAGAATATATAAACTATTTAATTTTTGAAATTCTAAAGGACTAAGCAGGGGTGTGGGTGAGGGTGTATTCCTGTAGGTGAGAGCAAGATTGACACCCACACCCCACACCCCACACCCCACACCAATATTTCATTTTTAGTTCTCTGAAAGGCATTTTTTTGAATTCTACGCTTTTTGCCCAGCAAATAGGGTGCAGTTTAGATTTGACACAAGATTCTGTTTCTAATAGGGAAGTAGTGATTCATTCTGGTAAATTCGTTAATCTGCTATCATGAACTGCTTCTACAATAGTTATGAGGTAAGAATGCCCTAACCTGTGGAACGGTGTTAGAAATGAATCTTCTCCAGTGTGATAATAGCTAAGATAGTTCATATTGAAGAAATTCAGAGAAGAATTACTCACTAGTCTAAGCTTTTAGATGCTCTCTGGCAGACTAGTCCTCAAAGAACGAAGTCAAAGAGAGATCTCCTGATTGATTTTCTTTTTTGTAGGGATTCCCAATATTCCTCGCGATGCCCGATGGGCACAACAATGTGTGATTGTGGCTGGAGGTAATGGTGGAGGAAAATACGATAATCAACTAAACTGTCCCGGAGGTATCAGTGTCGATGATGATGAAACTATTGTCATAACTGATTATCACAATCAACGTGTGATGCAATGGAAGAAAGATGCTACGGTTGGGCAAGTAGTTGCTGGTGGAAATGGCATAGGCGAGCGATTGGACCAATTAAATGGTCCAACTGATGTATTGATTGACAAACGAACGAATAGTCTGATCATTAGTGATCGAGAGAATCGACGAGTCGTACGATGGTCTCGCCAAATCGGTACAACACAAGGAGAAATCCTTTTGGAGAACATTCGTTGTCATGGATTAGCCATGGATGAACATAGATATCTCTATGTCGCTGACAGGAACAAACATGAAGTTAGACGGTATAAAACAGAAGAAGGAGACAAAACTGGCACTCTTGTTGCTGGTGGGAATGGAAAAGGCGATAGTCTCAAACAACTTGATTGGCCGACTCATCTCTTTGTCGATCGGCAACAGACTGTCTACATATCAGACTACAACAATCATCGTGTGATGAAATGGAATAGAAATGCAACTGAAGGAATTATTGTAGCCGGGTGCCTACGTGGTGAAAATGGTCCAACGAAACTGAGCTCTCCTCGAGGATTATTCGTCGATACGTTGGGTTCTATCTATGTAGTAGAACGGGGAGATGACCGAGTGACGCGTTGGTATAACGAAACGAGACAAAGCATGACTATTGTAGGTGGGAATGGTCAAGGGAACGAAGCAAATAGGATGAGTGGCCCCGTTGGATTGTCCTTCGATAAACATAATAATCTATATGTTGTCGATACTTCGAACCACAGAGTTCAACGATTTGGGTGTGGCAAGTGACCGCAATACAGATGTATCTCATAATTTATATAGATAATAAAATATATTAGAGATTGAAAGCATCACACGACGCGTATCGACCTTGCTTAAGGGACTCATTATATCAGAGCTGGGCAAGTACGAACTTTTTCGAGTAGGAGCGCCAAATCCTCGAGTACGAGTATGAGTACGAGTATTAAACCCTCGAGTACGAGTATGAGTACGAGTATTAAACCCTCGAGTACGAGTATGAGTACGAGTATTAAACCCTCGAGTACGAGTATGAGTACGAGTATTAAACCCTCGAGTACGAGTATGAGTAC